GTATTAGACGGACACGTGACAACTGATCTATAATGGTATTAGAATTAGACGGTCACGTGATAACTGATCTATAATGGTATTAGACGGTCACGTGACAACTGATCTATAATGGTATTAGAATTAGACGGTCACGTGACAACTGATCTATAATGGTATTAGAATTAGACGGTCACGTGACAACTGATCTATAATGGTATTAGAATTAGACGGTCACGTGACAACTGGTCTATAATGGTATTAGACGGTCACGTGACAACTGATCTATAATGCTATTAGAATTAGACGGTCACGTGATAACTGGTCTATAATGGTATTAGACGGTCACGTGACAACTGATTTATAATGCTATTAGACGGTCACGTGATAACTGGTCTATAATGGTATTAGACGGTCACGTGACAACTGATTTATAATGCTATTAGACGGTCACGTGACAACTGATCTATATTTCTATTAGACGGTCACGTGACAACTGATCTATAATGCTATTAGACGCTCACGTGACAACTGGTATATAATGGTATTGGACGGTCACGTGAAAACAGGCATGTAATGATATGATGGTCACGTGACAAATGATATATAATGATATAAGAAGGTCACGTGACAACTGATATATAATGATATCAAACAAGCTGTGGGGCACATTTCACAACATTATATTTATCGGCCGTTGCAGCAGTTATATTTTAAAACAATTTCAAAGCCGATTTCTGGTTACCCACCACTTGTCTTGCTCACGAGAACACCTGACCTGTTCTCCCCTCTTGTACCCCGCCCCCACCCTCCCACCCACCCAAGGCTCTCCAATCATGGAGCTCTGGTGTAACTTTGTGAGAGAGTTAAACGAACATTAGTTCCGGGATCGTAGTGTGTAGAGGGGAAGCCCCTTCAAACTGTCACGGCATGTCGCATGACACAATCAGCCACGCTTAATTAAGTCAACGTTTACTTAGGGGGCTGTCTTTGCGACTTTGAGAATCATCTCAGTATGCAGCTCGTCGGGCCAGTGGTGCTCAGCATTTATTTTAAGATGCGACATCTCCCCCCACCCACTTTTTTGTTTTGTTTGTTTTTTTTTGTTTTCCATTTATTTTTTTAAGGAATTATTTTAGTATGGGGACCCCCCCCCCCCCTTTTTGTTTTGTTTGTTTTTTTTTGTTTTCCATTTATTTTTTTAAGGAATTATTTTAGTATGGGGACCCCCCCCCCAAATGCGGACACGCCCGCGGGTCACGATATGACACGGTGTAGGTAAAATGTGTTTAAAAAATAATAATAACCTCGGGGTCACGACCCCAAGAGGACACACCAGTGGCTTTCGGTCTACCAGTAAACGCCTTCTTACCTTTCGTGAGCCTACAACCGTACCAACTTGACCATAACTCAGAAAGCAGTGATCCGTAACTATTTTTTTTTTTAATTATAATAATTTATAATTATAATAATAAAATCTTCGCATAAAATAAAATGTAAAAAATGGGATGTCTCTTTCATGTTTCATTTCAGCTGAAACCCTCCATCTAGGCTCGAACAAAGGATGTCAATACAAAACGAGTGGGAAACCATTCGCCGGCAGGGAAGTCGTGGTCGTGGTTGTCAGCCGAAACGTTTGGGTAGGAGGGAAATCCAATGACCTGCGTGAGATCAAATGTTGGCTTCAAATTATCAGTTTAGTATGTGTTTATTTAGTCTTATATAACAGTAACGACACACAAGCCAGTGTTAAATGAGCTCAACGCCTGAGGCGAATACATAAAGATAAATCAATCGAGTCACCTGATATCACTCCCGCCAATGGTCTCCCTAACAATCTCATAGTTTCTGTTTCTTATGTCAGCAAACTACCTTCGTTTATACAGCGCCTCTGAAAAATATTTTTTTTCTATGAAATAGAGAAAAATGAGAAGATAAATGATGAGATTGTATTTTGATCCCCGCGGGTGGATGGGACTCGTAAACCTTGCATGGCAACGCATCTAAGAGAAAGCAAACTCTGAAATTAACCCCGGTGATGGAGTCCCGTAGGCGGTACGACAATAGCACAATGAAAATTCCGACAACTCCTGCGATGGGGGAACGCATAAGATCACAGTGAGACACAAGAAACACTGTTGGTCCTCCAATCCATCCGGGTCTATTTCCAGGCACACGACAATATCACAGGGGTCGCCTAAGACCACGGGAAAACACATATACTCTAAAGTTATGAAGTAGCAACGAAAATAATTTTGTGTTTGGGGGTCGCCCCAAAATGAGGAACTGTATTAAAGGGTCGCGGCATTAGAAAGGTTGAGAACCACTGCTCTAAACAAATATAGCTCACGTCAAAGCAAGTACTCAAGTCGAAGCCTTGGTCATCTTGGTTAACTTGTTCCTCTTGGTCAACTTAATCATCTTTGTCCACTTAATCATCTTGGTTAAATTAATCATCTTTGTCCACTTAATCATCTTGGTCAACTTGGTCCTCTTGGTCAACTTAATCATCTTTGTCCACTTAATCATCTTGGTCAACTTGGTCATTTTGTTTGGTCAACTTAATCATCTTTGTCCACTTAATTATCTTGGTCAACTAGGTCCTCTTGGTCAACTTAATCATCTTTGTCCACTAAATTATCTTGGTCAACTTGGTCCTCTTGGTCAACTTAATCATCTTTGTCCACTTAATTATCTTGGTCAACTAGGTCCTCTTGGTCAACTTAATCATCTTTGTCCACTGAATTATCTTGGTCAACTAGGTCCTCTTGGTCAACTTAATCATCTTTGTCCACTGAATTATCTTGGTCAACTTGGTCCTCTTGGTCAACTTAATCATCTTTGTCCACTTAATTATCTTGGTCAACTAGGTCCTCTTGGTCAACTTAATCATCTTTGTCCACTAAATTATCTTGGTCAACTTGGTCCTCTTGTTCAACTTAATCATCTTTGTCCACTGAATTATCTTGGTCAACTAGGTCCTCTTGGTCAACTTAATCATCTTTGTCCACTGAATTATCTTGGTCAACTTGGTCCTCTTGGTCAACTTAATCATCTTTGTCCACTGAATTGTCTTGGTCAACTAGGTCCTCTTGGTCAACTTAATCATCTTTGTCCACTGAATTATCTTGGTCAACTAGGTCCTCCTGGTCAACTTAATCATCTTTGTCCACTGAATTATCTTGGTCAACTAGGTCCTCTTGGTCAACTTAATCATCTTTGTCCACTGAATTATCTTGGTCAACTTGGTCCTCATTGCACGCGAAGGACGAACACTATTTGATCAATAATAAAGACTTATGGTCACTTTTGGCAAAAATCATTGTTCAAGATCCGGTGGCATTTTCGGAGAGTGGGCACCTAGAAATGAATGACTTTCAAATTTGCTAGTTGTGTCGTGAAATGTCGTGAGAGTGAGGGCTGGGAGGAATGATTCCGCTGGGAGGAATGATTCTGCCTTGGGCGCCTACTTCAGCTGGCGAAAAAAAAACACACATTATTTTTAATAGAAATCTTATCCGTCTACGGGACACAATCTACGAGTTTGAATTCAGAGTTTTCTTGAGTTGCCATCTAAGTCTCAGTCGTTATTTGGGGATAAAAACTCGTTTGTCACTACAATCTTTTTTTTCTTCTTGTCAATCACATCAATCGATTGACCTTTGGAGGCCCGAATTGGCCTCGTTTCCATTTTGATGCTTTCTGAGGCAGTTAGCCTGGCCTGAAAACAAAACTAAACTAAGCCGTAAACATTACCTTAGATAGAAATCATCAGAGTTTGGGTTTTGAGAGTCCGTCGTCTGTTGGTGACAGCTGGGAGAAATCGAATAGAAAGCACAATGTCAGCTAATTGGGTCAGCAACTTCTTATTAAGTTTTTTTTTTGTTTGTTTTTTTCCTCGCACTTCTTATTGGTTATCGTTTGGGCGCATCCCACATAGAGAGGGCCGTGCAAAAAATAGGTTGGGGGGGGGCAAAGGGTTGGTCGCCCTAGGTGATAATCGTAGGGGGTGCCAAAATGGTAAATTATCCTAAATTATCATAAGTCGGCCTAGAATAGAAAGAGGAGGGGGTTCACTCCACGGGCAGGTTAAAATTAAAAAAATAATAAATCTGACCGGGGGGGGGGGGGGGGGGGGGTTTTGGTCTAAAAAAATAATGGTAATTATTTAAATACAAAGCACAATTTTTTAATGAAAAACTAAAATCGGGTATGCGTCAAAATAAATCACTGCATTTTAAATGTATCAAATATTTTCTGGGGGAGAGGAGCCCCACCCCAAACTTCACTCAATTGTCAGGCTTCGCCCCAAGAGCCGCCCTTTCTTGGCATGGTCATCATGGCTTTTTAAAAAAAAAATTAAAAAATTGTATTTAAACTCATAGTACCGGTAACCCTACCTCAAAGTACTGGTAACTGATATGCAGTGGCGTAGTAAGGTGGTGCAAGGGGGGTGATCCGCACCTGTCAGCATTTTTAAAATTTATTTTGAGGTGTGTAAATTCTGCCAACTGCCGAGATTATTTTCTTTGCAGTGTGACGGCAAAAAAAAAAAAAAAGCTTGGCCCACCCCGGGTTGAAGCAACCCCGGCTACGCCACTGCTGACTTGACACTCAATTCTAATTTTTTCGAGGGGTGGACGAAATGTCGACTGCCTAGAGGCCCCCGTTGGGGGAGAGGGGGGGGGGGGCTTAATCCGGCACTGAACACACCTGTACTGTGTCAACATCATTATTCAACCCCACCCCCTCCCCGACCTCGGTTCATTCCGAGCCGGCGACACGGGTCTCAGCTATTTGACAACATTTTAGATATCCTTGGCCTTAGAGTCAAACTGAAAGCGTTGGATGCAGCCGTCGCATTTTTTTTTTAATGGACAGTCTCGTGACGGTGAGCCCAAACAACTACGTTGAATTCATACTCTGTGCATTCTCACCATCGTGGCGAGCTCTCTTCAGCAATGGGGACTTTTTTCGCCAAGCAAACCTCGGATCTCATCGTGATCGTCCACACGGGAGACCGGAAACAGGCAGGGACGGACGCGAATATTCACCTCATCGTCCACGGCGAGCACGGCCAGACCACCGAGCCCGTCCAGCTGGATAACCTCTTCCGGAACGACTTGGAGCGCGGTTCCGTCGACACATTCAGCATCCCGAACGCCAAGGCGAGGAGCCTCGACAGGACCGGCCGGATCACGAAGATCGAGTTCTGGCAGGACGGCTCGGGCCTGGGGAGCGGCTGGTACGTGGATAAAATCGTGGTGGACAACAAGGTGACCAACGACGCGTACGTGTTCCCTGTGTTCCGGTGGATCAAGGCCGACTACCGGTACAAGATCGCCCACCTGGACACGTCCCTCCCCCAGGATGACCAGCACGCTGACCAGAGAAAGATGGAGCTGGAGGAGAAGAGGAAGTTGTACGAGTTTGACCAGAAGTTTCCACCACAGTTCCCGGGTGGTCCGGTTCAGGTAAGTGAATTGACCAATGTAATAGTAGAGCAGGTAGATGAATTGTCCAATATAAAAATAGAGCGGGTAGGTGAATGATTCATTTTAACAATAGATCATGTAGGTGAATTATTCATTTTAACTATAGATCAGGTAGGTGAATTATTCATTATAACAATAGATCCGTTAGGTCAATTATCCAAAATAATAGTAGATCAGGCCGATGAATCCAATCCTAGATCATTACATTCTTAGAACGGTATACGTATATAAAGTAATGGAGAGATCAGAGCCCCAGGCAGCTATCGTTGGCTCTGTGGGTCAACGCCCCTGCTACGCAACCGTTTTGAATGGCATAGCTTCATGTTTCTGGCCACTGGCCACTTTGGTCCGGTCTATCAGAGTGCCATTCAGTCATTGAAAATGCATAGTTGACACCGCAACTTCAATGGGTACAAAAAAGATAAGGATAATTGTGATGGCAAAAATTGGGATTTCTTTTTTACTTTGGCTAAATGAAAACGAGCGCTGACATTTAGAAGCCGGGCCAAAATCGGGGAGAGAAAATAGAAAATCTACTCCAGGACATCGCCTGCTTTTGAAGAAATGTAGGCTCATTGAATGTAGGCTCACTGAATGTAGGCTCATTGAATGTAGGCTCATTGAATGTAGGCTCATTGAATGTAGGTTCATTTAATGTAGGCTCATTGAATGTAGGCTCATTAAAGTCCAACTATGACTGTAGGCTCATTAAAGTCCACTCCAGTCAAGTTAAAGGAAAGTGGGGTTGGGGGGGGGGGGGAGGGGGAGGGTTTACATTTCTTCATCCTGTAAAATGACACCAGTAGATTTTTCTTTTTAAGGTCATATCTTTGGGAGATTAAAAAAAAACGACCCCTAAAACATTTGCACATGTACATAAGTAAATATTTCTTTTGATCAAATCAAGAATTTAAATATAGCTGTACACACCAGCAAATATATACTTTGGCTCTACCGGCACTTGGATCCATAAACGTACGCTATGCAGCTGAGGCTGCCATCGTTTAATTTTGTAGAGAACCAAATCCATCCGGAGACATACATTTTGCAAGTGGTCATTGAGTACGAAATGGTTTGAGAATCACCGCTCCCGATTGACTCAATCTCCTATGTTTCACTTTTAATATTTAACAATCTAAAGGAACGGTAAAGCCGTCTGTAAAAAAAAATCATTGACTAAAAAAAATTATTTAAAAATCTACGGTAAAGTAGATCAGATCCAGATTTCTATCAAGTCTATTACTGAGATTTTAATCGAGATTAATCAAGCTTGAAAAAGTGTTCTTATGCCTTAATCTTTACGGTTGTGTTGTTGTTATTTTTTTGCTGTTGTTGTTTTTTTTTTGAGGTGTAAAATAGGCTCAGACGTTTTTTAATGCCTGACGCCAATGGGTCAGAACAAAAATGTTCCTATAATTTACTTGAGAAGCACATATCTTCTCACAAATACCTTTTCTAAACACCTGTTGCAGAAAGTTCTAAGTATAAGAACAATTAAAGTCTTATAACTAAAGACCTTTCAACACAACGTGTCCCTTGCATAAGTACAATAATGCCAAACACTACAAGTGCGTTGTTTAATCAACCAAGGAGAACTATCGAGATCCAGGTTGCGATTTGTGTTTACTTACGCCAACGGCTGCAAAGCCTGCGTCAAGGCAAATCATAATAATAACACTCCCCCACTCCCCCCGCCCAAAAAAAAAAAAAAAATAAAAAAAAAAAAAAAAATAAAAAAAAAAAAAAAAAAAAAAAAAAAAAAAAAAAATATAAAAAAAAGCCATTTACGTTATTTAAGATGAATTGCGTTGAATCATTTTGAACGCACGGCTTTTTGCCGCAAAAAAAAAACACTTCTTCTTTCGGTGCACCTATTTACAAAGTTGATAATTGATTATGCGAAAATCCCACTGATTTTTTTAAAACAACACTCTTCATTTATAATATTAATATTTTAACCAAAATTTTCAACACTGGAGTTCTTCCAGTGAACCTGACATGTACGCATTTAATTGTAACAAACAATCCAACGCTTAGCCTACAGGGTGGACCAATAAAAGTGAGAATATCTCGTAGCGTAATATTTTACGAGATGTTCTCACTTTTATTGGCCCACCTTGTACATTACAAATGTAAAACACACACACACACACACACACACGTTTAGCCTACATTGTGTACATTCACTGGCGTAAAGGGGGGAAGGGGGGCGGGGGTGTGGGGCGGCCATGCCGGGCGGCACACTTTTATTGGCCCACCTTGTACATTACAAATGTAAAACACACACACACACACACACACACGTTTAGCCTACATTGTGTACATTCACTGGCGTAAAGGGGGGAAGGGGGGCGGGGGTGTGGGGCGTCCATGCCGGGCGGCACACATTTTTTTCTATATATTTAGGGACGGCAAAGTTTCTTCGTGGAAATGGGGGTGGCCAAAATTTTGTATACACATACTCTCATTATATGACGTGCCATGCATGCATCGTCCTTATTTAGTTAAGCGGTCGTCCATTAATTACGCCAACAATTTTTCCGCAATTTTTTACCCCCCTCTCCTTCCCTTGTCAACAACTGTCAAACTTTCGATGCCCCCCCCACCCTTAATTATGTCAACATTATATGATCCCCCCACCAAAAAAATGAATTATAATATAAGTAAATTTATAAATAATAAATACGTTTTACTTTATGCTCATGCTCACAGAATTGTCGGAAAAAACATTTCGTTTCGTGTTTAGCTTGTTAATCAACAAGTTAAACAGTTTTTACAATTAAATTTTATAATGCAGAATCAATTAAAAGTTTGTTAAAGACTAAATAAAAATTGTTTTGGTAGTGTAAATGTGACTATTGTCAGTATAGCTGACAATTATAGTATAATTTCTAGCTGCTATCATCTTCCCATGGAGTAGCCAGATGTTGCTGTATCGTAACAATGGGCATCAGGGATATCATTTGGGTAGGGCAGGGGGGCATTCTTCTCCCCCCTCCCCCTGCTGATTTCGCTGGTTTTCTTTAAATTGATATTGACTGTGGCGCCTCCAGTAATAAACAGCTTAACATGCCGACCAAGTTTTGGTTTTGCACCCCCCCCCCCCCCCCCTTNGGAAATGATACACCAGACAAGTCAACATCATCCTTATCTAACTATTCAGCATTTAAAATCGAAGCATTGTCGGTGTGAGCAATAGTTGCAATAAGCTCTCTCTGTCTTTGAGTTGGTACAGTTGTTATTGAACACCGATGAGTTGGGTTTTTTTTTTTTTTTTTAATTGAACACCGTGTGCTAATAATTCTAGGGAGCGGATTAAGAGAAAAATGACAGGTGAAGAGATGCCTACTTTTGACTTCTCTTGCACTCACAAAGGGTGCTAACATTCTGACCAGCCATCTGCAGTGCACAGACAGACACACAATGCACAAGTCTTATATTGTTAAAAGCCTAAACATATATGACTATTTGCACTCATTAAATTGTTTAAAATAATGTAATATCCAGTCTATGTTAATATTAAAATTTTAATAGAAAAAAAAACAAGATTTTTGACGTCAACTAATCTAAACCCCTCCCTCCTTGTGAACAACTGTCAAATATTCCCACCCCCCTATTTTTTTAACGTAAGTAATGGACGCCCCCCTAATCGATACAAAATCCAAAAGATAAAATGCATTAACATATTTTCAAGCAGTCTAAAAATATTTCGTTCTTTTACGATGACTGGACGTTTTATTTAACTATTTAATGGTAAAATCACGAACTATTTATAGACTGATTGAAAATATGTTTGTGCGTTTTATCTTGTGGATCTTTTACCTATTAACTAAATAAGGACGATGCATGCTCGGCACGTCATTTCTTTTGGCAGTGACGACTGGACGGTTGATTTAATTATTCTGTCATCTCTGGGGCAAGGTAAACGTTCTCTTCCTAACATTTATTTGTCTTGTTTAAACGCCGTAAGTGACTATTTGGGAAGCAGGGGCGTAGGAAGAGGGATGCGCGGTGGGGGAAGGGGGGTGGGGGTCCGCCCCGGGACTAACTGTTTTTCTTCTTTATATAGAGGCTAGCATTTTCGATCAACTGCGCCCACCCTGGGCGGCGCTATATAAAGGCTATCAATATTAAAGGCCAAAATAATGGATGAAATAAAACTGTTAACATATCAATAATCAGCTGTTAATAACAATGTACCGTATAACCAGTGGCGTGGAAACGGGGGGGGGGGTCTTTAGGGGGCGGTAAGGTCCGGGCGGCACTTTATTTTTTATGTGGAGAGGCGTAAATTTCGGCCAACCTCAGGGTGACTTTTTATGAAAAATAGGGAGGGGAGAAAGTGCCCATCAAGGGCAAAGCTAACCCTAGCTACGCCACTGAATATAACAAATAGTTCAATATATATTATTAACTTTTTTTTTTAAAGTCTAATCTTTACTCAATCCGCAGGTCAAGAAAGTGCCAGCCGATGAAGAGTTTTCTTGTGCTTACTTGGTAAGATGACTGTGTCTGTTCATGTTAGTTTATAGTGTTGAGTGTCCTGTGTCTGTTTATGTTACTTTATAGTATTGGATGTCTTACTGTGTCTGTTCATGTTACTTTATAGTATTTAAGGTCTTACTGTGTCTGTTCATGTTAATTTATAGTGTTGGACGTCTTACTGCGTCTGTTCATGTTACTTTATAGTATTGTATGTCTTACTGTGTCTGTTCATGTTAATTTATAGTGCTGGGTGTCTTACTGTGTCTGTTCATGTTAGTTTATAGTGTTTGATGTCTTACTGTGTCTGTTCATGTTACTTTATAGTATTGGATGTCTTACTGTGTCTGTTCATGTTAATTTATAGTGTTGGACGTCTTACTGCGTCTGTTCATGTTACTTTATAGTATTGTATGTCTTACTGTGTCTGTTAATGTTAATTTATAGTGCTGGGTGTCTTACTGTGTCTGTTCATGTTAGTTTATAGTGTTTGATGTCTTACTGTGTCTGTTCATGTTACTTTATAGTATTGGATGTCTTACTGTGTCTGTTCATGTTAATTTATAGTGTTGGACATCTTACTGTGTCTGTTCATGTTAGTTTATAGTGTTTGATGTCTTACTGTGTCTGTTCATGTTAATTTATAGTGCTGGGTGTCTTACTGTGTCTGTTTATGTTAGTTTATAGTGTTTGATGTCTTACTGTGTCTGTTCATGTTACTTTATAGTGTTGGGTGTCTTACTGCGTCAGTTCATGTTAGTTTATAGTGTTGGGTGTCTTACTATGTCTGTTCATGTTACTTTATAGTGTTGGACGTCTTACTGTGTCTGTTCATGTTAGTTTATAGTGTTTGATGTCTTACTGTGTCTGTTCATGTTAGTTTATAGTGCTTGGTGTCTTAATATGTCTGTTCATGTTAGTTTATAGTGCTGTGTGTCTTACTGTGTCTGTTCATGTTAATTTATAGTGTTGGACGTCTTACTGCGTCTGTTCATGTTACTTTATAGTATTGTATGTCTTACTGTGTCTGTTCATGTTAATTTATAGTGCTTTGTGTCTTACTGTGTCTGTTCATGTTAGTTTATAGTGTTTGATGTCTTACTGTGTCTGTTCATGTTACTTTATAGTGTTGGGTGTCTTACTGCGTCAGTTCATGTTAGTTTATAGTGTTGGGTGTCTTACTGTGTCTGTTCATGTTAGTTTATAGTGTTTGATGTCTTACTGTGTCTGTTCATGTTAGTTTATAGTGTTTGATGTCTTACTGTGTCTGTTCATGTTAGTTTATAGTGCTTGGTGTCTTAATATGTCTGTTCATGTTAGTTTATAGTGCTGGGTGTCTTACTGTGTCTGTTCATGTTACTTTATAGTGCTGGGTGTCTTACTGTGTCTGTTCATGTTAGTTTATAGTGCTGGGTGTCTTACTGTGTCTGTTCATGTTACTTTATAGTGTTGGACGTCTTACTGTGTCTGTTCATGTTACTTTATAGTGATGGGTGTCTTACTGTGTCTGTTCATGTTAGTTTATAGTGCTTGGTGTCTTACTATGTCTGCTCATGTTACTTAATAGTTTTAGGTGTCTGAGTCTGTTGATGTTACTTTATAGTGCTGGGTGTCTTACTATGTCTGCTCATGTTACTTAATAGTTTTAGGTGTCTGAGTCTGTTGATGTTACTTTATAGTGTTGGGTGTCTTACTGTGTGGTTGTTCATGTTACTTTATAGTGTTTGGTGTCTTACTGCGTCTGTTCATGTTAGTTTATAGTGTTGAGTTTCTTATCGTGTCTGTTCATGTTACTTTATAGTGTTGGACGTCTTACTGTGTCTGTTCATGTTACTTTATAGTGTTGGACGTCTTACTGTGTCTGTTCATGTTAGTTTATAGTGTTGGACGTCTTACTGTGTCTGTTCATGTTACTTTATAGTGTTGGACGTCTTACTGTGTCTGTTCATGTTACTTTATAGTGTTGGACGTCTTACTGTGTCTGTTGATGTTACTTTATAGTGTTGGGTTTCTTACTGTGTCTGTTCATGTTAGTTATCTGTTTGATGTTTTACCCTTCATTATATTGTATGTAAGGAATCATATTATTACAGATGAGACTGCGACATTCATTCTTTCAAATAATTTCTCCACCAAATAAACATCCGCCCTGTGTATCTACGTCATCGGCCAAAATGGCGGGTGATTGAAGTGCAGGTTTCTTGACAATGTTATGGGAACTTGTCTAATGATAGACTGAACTGAAACTCTCGACATACCACTTTTTGTGTCTGCACTAGAAATGTTTGAAAAGCTATAAAATTGAGACACCCATCAGGCACACCAGGGGCGGTTTAAAGCTGGATTGAGTCACCTAGTCACCAATTGTCCTTAAGGACACTTTAGGAGGTGTTTGAGATTGCCCCAGTCTGATCTAATCTCGCTTTGAGACTGCATCGCTTAGAGATTGAGCTTTGAGAATGCCTGCCTTTGAGATTACATCGCGTTTGCTTGAGACAAATCAGAGCGAAAATACGCACAGATACCAGTTTGTTGTGAACGTCTATAGAGGGGGGAAAAAAAAGTAATATAGTTACACTTAAAAGGACAAACCGTGTTTCTCCTGTCTGAGATGTGTTCGCTAAACTTGCATAGAAATGTTGGTACTAAACTAGGGTGATCAAACGTCCCGTATAAACGGGATTGTCCCGTTTTTTTCCTCATCATGATTTGGTCACCCTAGACTAAACTCTAACCGCGTCTTGAAACTACCTTCATTTGGACCGTGTGAAGCAGGGCTTCTCAAATTCTTGATCGTACAGGATGCTTTTAGTTTGCAAAGTTTGAAGCATTCAAAAATATATATATTAAAAAATCTCTCCAAGGAAAACTCCAACTTAAAGTTTGTTGTATACAAACAGAGTCTGATTTACGCTCCAGGTGCAAACGGGGTGTCCGTGGGCCTTTTTTAGACCCTTACCACTTTTAAGTTTTGTGCGCCCCCCCCCCCCCCGCCCCGGGCATTCAAATCTGATAGTTTGCACCTTTTCTACATCCCACCCCCCCCTCCGGGGGGGGGCGTTGTTGCCGGCCATTGCTCTTAATGAAAACTTTTTTTCCTTTATTTTTAAAGGGTGCAACAATTTTTTTTTTCTCTAGTAGCTAGAGAGATCGCAACAGCTGGTAGAAATATTTTTAAAGGGAAAGGTTTGGCGAGATGGTGTTGATGTGATTATTTAAAAACAACAATAATTATTGGATAAATGAGCACATAGTTTGTCTCTGAAAAGCTTACTCTGAAAACGTTCTCTCCGTTTGTCTGTCGTGTCCAAGCTTACTCCAAAAACACTCTCTCCGTTTTTCCGTCGTGTCCAAGCTTACTCTGAAAATGTTTTCTCCGTTTGTCTGTCGTGTCCAAGCTTACTCTGAAAATGTTCTCTCCGTTTGTCTGTCGCGTCCAAGCTTACTCTGAAATGTTCTCTCCGTTTGTCTGTCGTGTCCAAGCTTACTCTGAAAATGTTCTCTCCGTTTGTCTGTCGCGTCGAAGCTTACTCTGAAAACGCTCTCTCCGTTTGTCTGTCGTGTCCAAGCTTACTCCAAAAACGCTCTCTCCGTTTGTCTGTCGTGTCCAAGCTTACTCTGAAAACGTTTTCTCCGTTTGTCTGTCGTGTCCAAGCTTACTCTGAAAATGTTCTCTCCGTTTGTCTGTCGCGTCCAAGTTTACTCTGAAATGTTCTCTCCGTTTGTCTGTTGTGTCCAAGCTTACTCTGAAAACGTTATCTCCGTTTGTCTGTCGCGTCCAAGCTTACTCTGAAAATGTTCACTCCGTATGTCTGTCGTGTCCAAGCTTACTCTGAAAACCCTCTCTCCGTTTGTCTGTCGTGGCCCATCTTACGCTGAAAATGTTCTCTCTTCACAGTGGGACATCACAACGTTAAAACTGAATCTCAAACTGACTGGAAAGATTGTGAAGCTGACCAGTGAACCCTGGGACAGTCTTGCCGACTTGACCAACATCTACACCAAGGAAGTCTTCACGAGACCCAGGGTACTCACTCCTTAATATCATTTTTTATCTTAATTTTTGTTTTATCTTATTGTTAGCCATTTGGACAATACTATTTCATTTAAGGGGTATAATGTAAAAATAATTTTAAATATGCATCTTCTTCTTCTTATATATTTTGAGGGCCTACGATCAATGTTTTGATCATTCTGGCTCCTATATACATGTTAAAAAAGGCAAATATATTGTCCCAGATGAAAGCCCAAATTAGCAGTTCTGTAATAGAGCCAGAACGAGAGATGGTGCGGTTGGTTTAATGACAGTGACAATTCTTTAGTAGAGTCAGAACAAGTTCTGTAGTAGAGCCAGAACTAGGGCTGGTGCAGTTGTTTTTAATGACAATGACAGCTCTGTAGTAGAGCCAGAACTAGGGCTGGTGCAATTGTTTTAATGACAGTGACAGCTCTGTAGTAGAGCCAGAACTAGGCCCGGTGCAATTGTTTTAATGACAGTGACAGTTCTGTAGTAGAGCCAGAACAAGGGCTGGTGCAGTTGTTTTAATGACAGTGACAGTTCTGTAGTAGAGCCAGAACAAGGGCTGGTGCAGTTGTTTTAATGACAGTGACAGTTCTGTAGTAGAGCCAGAACAAGGGCTGGTGCACTTGTTTTAGTGACAGTTCTGTAGTGTAGCCAGGACAAGGGCTGGTGCACTTGTTTTAATGACAGTAACATTTTCATCTAGTTACAGAGCAGTTTATCTCTGGCGAGCACTTTGAGCCTCGACTAAATTTCACGTCAGAGAACAGCGATCTTCATGCTCCTCACTGAAAAAAAAAAGGGGGGGGGGGGGTAGAGATGATTGCAAACTCTCAATGTGTTCCGAATACTTAAATGCATCCAGGTTAAATGGATGTGGTGAATTTTTTTCCTCGTTATATTTGGACATGTAAATAAGGCTTTGCCTTACATGTTGTTTTCTTAAATTAAATTATCAAGCCATACAAATAGGTCACCTAGATTTTTACAACACATCTATCCGCCATGATGGCCTCTCGCCTCAAATTCACTCTCCTTAACAACAAAACACACAAATTTTTCTTTAGTGTCCCAGAGTACTTCTACCTTCAGTCGTCAAAAAAACAAAGGTTGTTGACTCCTGCCCCTGCTGTAACTAGGTTTTCTGTGGGAACCCTGCATTAGAAACCGTAGCTCCAGCTCCATGACAATGGCCTTTGTGGTGTCGGCCTCTATAGTTTGGTACGTAGGGCGGGGTCCCCGATAACAGGTGGCGTGTGCGAGAAAATAAACTCAGTGCTCTGTGTACCATTGATGTAATGTTCCGCTTAATAAGGGCATGGGCGCCCCTCCCCCCCCCCCCTAGGATGGGTCATGGGGTTCGGGTGACGCCCTAAAATTAATCCATCCAATAACTAGTATTGAGAAAGGAATACTCAAATGAACACAACTAAAAGTGAACTTAAATCATTTGTTTAGACTTATGAGTTCTGAAACTGTCAGCGGTGTCAGTTAAATGTAGGGCAACACGTTGTACAGTTTGTCATCTCCTGTTGACATGAACACATAACACGCGTCGTGTCTGTACACGGCAAAACATTTAACGTGTGCTCATGCACAAGGGTGTTTTAAAGGAGGTTTTTTTTTTTTTTTTAATAGTTTTTTTCATTTTGATTATTTTTCTGAACAAATAATACGTTTTTTGCCGAATAAGAGTTGTCATCAAATAATTTTTTTTATTTCCCCACACAACACAAAGAGAAGATACCTTGGCTCTTACGTAACGATATAATCTATTTATAAATCGGTGATCAACACCAAAATATTGTCATCAGCTAAGCATTATGATCTGACAGCACTTGACGGTGTTAACTGTGAACTCCACTTTACCAGCGACACGAAAGACCCAAGTGGGCTTTCGGCGCCTCCACTCAAAAACGACGGTGTCTTGTGTGCGTCCTTGTATACATTGGATTTTTCTTGATGGCTGAATTGGGGGACGTCACAAGCGTACGCCTTAAGAGAGCGCCTTTTACCAACAGTTAGTGATGTTATCCTTTCACATACCCAAGGCTGAGAACATGGAAGATTAGTTTGTTTAGGAAACCGAGATCAACAGAGGTTAACTGACAGCTGGATGAATTGACTTTCCAGACGCCTTGCTTGTTTCTATTGTATGTTTTTTTGGCATATGAAAGTTTGGATCAAGAAAATTTAAAAAAAAAAATTTTTTCAGAAAGACTGGGGAAAAGTGTTGAAGGTCAATATTTTGAGTATTAGAGCAGTTCTTCGGCGACATGGACATTTTCTACTAATCTCTTACATATATTTGGCTTCTGGTGTGTCCTGCTTCCTGTTCACAACTGGCCCTCCCCAGGCCACATGTTTATATTAATAATAATAATAAAGCTTATTTGAAAATCACGCGTCATCCCCAAAGGCTCGAAGCGCGATACAAAGTCCGCCATATTAAAAGAAAAAAATGAAAAAAATCTATATTTTACCACATTGAAATACAAAAGTGCAACATTCCAAAAAACTACATACGAGACTTATGCCCAGTCTAAGTCTTTCATCCCTTGCAACCATAAACAACACAGGCCACTATACATCTAAGAGATAATAGTTAGCTGGGAAAGATGGTGTACAGCATCACCCCAACAGGTGTTTGCGAAATAGATGTGTTTTCAAATCGGTTTTAGTACCGAGTGAAAAAAAAGTCTCTCATTCGTGACGTGTGGACTCAAAATAAAATTCTATTGAGGGAACAACTAATAGTCGATGTTGTTATTGTTCGTGTTCCTCTGTCACACAGCGAGCTACATGTGCTAAGGCTGAATTGCTGTCAATAGTTTGTTATTTTCGCTATACCCCGACTGTTGTTTCACCGAGACAAAGCTGGTTGCTGTTTGGCGTGACATTTAGTTGTTGCGGGTCGAAAGTTGAGGGTCTAAGTGCTCTTTACAAAACTCTACGGCACACCGTAGTTAAAAAAAAAAAAAAAAAAAAAAAAAAAAAAAAAAAAAATTAAAAAAAAAAAAAATTAGAAAAAAAAAAAAAAAAAAAAAAAAAAAATTAGGAACAATTTGAAAAAAAAAAAAATTTGGTACAAAATCTAATAAGCAACTTAAATTTAAAACATACTCTCATCTTTTAAGCAGGATCGCTGTTTTAAAAAAAACAACAACCGGTTTTAGGAAAATCTTGTTGTAAATAATGTATAAGCATTAACACGTAGAGATTTCCAGGGGCTCGTTGGATATTTGAGGTCCAAGCATTCGTGGAATGATTTCCACACAAGCTGGTTCAATCAAAGAATCAGAGATGGAGCTTTTTTTAATGACGTGTCCTTAATTTTGTAACGTATCTAATATGTGTGTGTGTGTGACAGTGGCATGTTGTGTCATTCTTGCAACTGCTGAAGATTGTATCTGAAAATTGCCTGATAATGTTGTTGGGTCATTTTGGCACACTGATTTTGAGTTTAGATGGCGAATCGGTTACGTAAGACAACACGACTCGCCTAATTCACAAAGGGATATATTTTATGTCAATATATGACATGTTATGACTGTCAAAATGTCAAGGTTTGTTGAGCTAATCATTAGTGGACTAGCTCAAGATCGAGGCCAAAGAGTCTCAGTACAGCAGAGTATAGCTAGAGATTGTGTCTAGTGGAGTAGATTGTGGCTAGAGGCTTATTACTATGGAGTAACTAAAGATTGTGGCTAGAGGCTTAGTACAGTGGAGTAACTAAAGATTGTGGCTACAGGCTTAGTACAGTGGAGTAGCTAGAGATCGTGGCTAGAGGCTTAGTACAGTGGAGTAGCTAGAGATTGTGGCTAGAGTCTACGTACCAGAGAGTAGCTAGAGATTGTGGCTAGAGTCTGATTACAGGGGAGTAGCTAGAGATTGTGGCTAGAGCCTGATTACAGGGGAGTAGCTAGAGATTGTGGCTAGAGTCTGATTTCAGGGGAGTAGCTGGAGATTGGGGCTAGAGTCTGATTACAGGCGAGTAGCTAGAGATTATGGCTAGAGTCTAAGTACAGTGGAGTAGCTAGTGATTATGGCTAGAGTCTAAGTACAGTGGAGTCTATAGTTACAGTCTAAGTACAGTGGTATAGCCAGAGACTGTGGCTAGATTCTAAGTACAGTGGAGTAGCTGGAGATTGTGGCTAGAGTCTAAGTACAGTGGAGTAGCTAGAGAGTGTGGCTAGAGTCTAAGTACAGTTGAGTAGCTAGAGATTGTGGCTAGAGTCTAAGTACAGTGTAGTAACTAGAGATTGTGGCTAGAGGCTTAGTACAGTGGAGTAGCTAGAGATTATGGCTAGAGTCTAAGTATAGTGGAGTAGCTGGAGATTGTGGCTAGTGTCTAAGTACAGTGGAGTAGCTCGAGATTGTGGCTGGTGTCTGATTACAGGGGAGTAGCTAGAGATTATGGCTAGAGTCTAAGTACAGTGGAGTAGCTAGTGATTATGGCTAGAGTCTAAGTACAGTGGAGTCTATAGCTAGAGTCTAAGTACAGTGGAGTAGCCAGAGATTGTGGCTAGATTCTAAGTACAGTGTAGTAGCTGGAGATTGTAGCTAGAGTCTAAGTACAGTGGAGTAGCTAGAGAGTGTGGCTACAGTCTAAGTACAATGGAGTAGCTAGAGATTGTGGCTAGAGTCTAAGTACAGTGGAGTAGCTAGAGATTGTGGCTAGAGTCTAAGTACAGAGGAGTAGCTAGAGATTGTGGCTAGAGTCTAAGTACAGTGGAGTAGCTAGAGAGTGTGGCTAGAGTCTAAGTACAATTGAGTAGCTAGAGATTGTGGCTAGAGTCTGATTACAGGGAGGTAGCTAGAGATTGTGGCTAGAGGTTTAGTACAGTGGAGTAGCTAAAGATTGTGGCTAGAGGCTTAGTACGGTGGATTAGCTGGAGATTATGGCCGGAGTCTAAGTACAGTGTTATAGCCAGATATTGTGGCTAGAATTTAAGTACAGTGGAGTAGCTAGAGATTATGGCTAGAGTCTAAGTACAGTGGAGTAGCTAGAGATTATGGCTAGATTCTAAGAACAGTGGTATAGCCAGAGATTGTGGCTAGAATTTAAGTACAGTGGAGTAGCTGGAGATTGTGGCTAGAGTCTAAGTACTATCTTATGAAACTCATATATGAGGAAAAGCTGTCGCCACCTCTGTAGTAGAGAACCTTAACCGACCGCACCGAACCCTGCTGACGACTGAACCCGAAAGAAACACGAGCTCTTCAACGTCACCAAGTTCGACCATCGCGAACTTATTACAACCAACGATTATTTTATGAATGTGACACGTGACTACTTACATCAGAAAAGCTCTTATTTTAATTAAATTAGATATCCCATTCCAAATCGATTTGTGTGTGTGTGTGTAAACCTTACGAGCATAGGATTGATTTGTATTAATGCTTGACAAATTAAACAACAACACGGTGTAGCAGAATCTTTTTCACCCAGCATCAGAATCTTGTTTCATTAAAAAAAAAAAAAAGTTAGAATTTTTTATCTTTTCATTTATTTGAAATTTTATTTCAATTAAAAACAAACTAATTTCATTCAAGTTGCGATGCTACGAACTTTAGTTGTTACCTAGCTGAACTTTGAACTTTAGTTGTTACCTAGCTGAACTCGAACTTAATTTGTTGAGGCGCCACCCTTGTATTTGGAGCCACCTCCTTTAGTTGAATCCGCCCATGTAGCAGGTGTTGAGACGCCACCTCTGCATTTGGAGCCACCCCCTTTAGTTGAAACCACCCCTGTTGCAGGTGCTACTTGTCTTAGGTTTGGCTCCTCCTCTTCCTGAATTGCATCCATCCAATCTTTCAGGGGGCTGACCTCTGGAATGACGACATGTACTTCGGCTTTCAAAGGCTGGCAGGCGTCAACAACCAGGTCATCCAACGGGTCGATTCCATTCCTGAAAAGTACGTACTCAAATTAAAATTTGGGTTACAAGTCAAATATTTTATTTATTTTTTTAAATGGCGTCATAAATTATTTAGTTCTATTTATATTTCAGTAGATTATAGAGAAATGGGCAGGATTCTAGTGGTTAGGTGAACATTAGAGACATGGCGGGAGTTATTGGTGGGTTTATTAGTGGGAATATGGGTGGGTTTCTTGGGATAATGATGTGATTATTGGTGGGATCATTGATGGGTTTATTGGAATCAGGACAAACTGTACCCAGGACACACTATACCAAAGACACACTATACTCAGGAAACACTGTACCCAGGACGCACTATACCAAAGACACACTATAGTCAGGACGTACTATACCAAAGACACACTATACTCAGGAAACACTGTACTCAGGACATACTATGCCAAAGACACACTATACTCAGGAAACACTGTACCCAGGACATACTATGCCAAAGACACACTATACTCAGGAAACACTGTACCCAGGACATACTATGCCAAAGACACACTATACTCAGGAAACACTGTACCCAGGACGTACTATGCCAAAGACACACTATACTCAGGAAACACTGTACCCAGGACATACTATACCAGTGGTCGGCAAACTCATTAGTCAAAGGAGACAAAAATCACCAGCAGGACGATTAAATATTTTTGAGAGCCAAATTTCTTTTAAGGAACCTCTCAAGAACCTTGTTCTTCGGAGTCAAAACCAAGCCGCACTCTAGCCAAGTCGCACTCTGGCCAAGTCGCACTCTGGTCAAGTCACACTCTGGTCAAGTCGCACTCTGGTCAAGTCGCACTCTGGCCAAGTCGCATTCTGGTCGCTAAAGAGTCGCGGTTTTCCGACCACTGCACTAAACCAAAGAGACACCATACTCAGAAACATACTAATATCCAGGACAAACTGTAACCATGGCATACTGTACCCAGGAAGTACTATAATCAGGACACACTGTATCCAGGACTGCTATATACCCAGGACACATAAAACTACGCGTTACACACAATTACTTTATTTCCAGGGCACACTATGCATGTGCTAGGACCATGTTAGAGGATGTATGTGTGCGCCCGGGGGGGGGGGAATGTTTTGGGGCCTCAGAGACAAAACACATAGTCTCCCGTTGTGTGCTATTGGCATATAAGGTATACATTCAAAGACTGCGTTCTTATTGAAACATTTCATTTGTAAGGTTCTCCTCTAAAAAGCCTATCGGTGACCATTTTGATGCACCAATTTCATTTCATTTGTTGTTACCAAGGTTACCAGTGACCGATGAGCTCTTGAAACCCCTCCTGGAAGGCCTTACCATCAGTGAAGCTGTTGCACAAAAGAGGCTTTTCATGTGTGACTTGCACATCCTGGAAGGTCTGCCCGTCAGGGAACACCGTGTGGTGAGTTGGGCATTTGTGTGTGTGTGTGGTGGTGTGTGGTGGTGGTGTGTGGTGGTGGTGTGTGGTGGTGGTGTGTGGTGGTGTGGTGGTGGTGTGTGGTGGAGTGTGGTGGAGTGTGGTGGTGTGTGGTGGTGGGGGGGCGGGGATTATCTCGGTTGTCTTGGAGTGGGATTATGATAATGTCCCCTGGAAACGGCCCTACAGGTGATATGGAAATGAAACAATTAAAATCAAAGGAATAAGAAAAAAAAAAAAGAAATACAGAGAAATTGAACAAGGTAAACTTTCCCCAGTCTCTTCACACTTCAACAGAGAGCAAAATAAAGGTGTAATATATTTTTCTTGCACAAATACACCAGAGAGAGTGACAATGGAAAGCCAATTTATTCAGCTTTTTGGTAGCCTATCTTCACATGGTATGAATCAAATACTCTCTTTCTAATGTTTCTCAATTTCCCTGTATTTCTTCTTTTTTTTTTTTTCTTCTTATTCCTTAGATTTTATTTATCTCTAAATTTTTGGTCCGTTAAGTTTCTCTACCTTATTTTTTACATTACCAATATTTCTATTCTTTCACTTCCTTTATTCACCTATCTTCACATGGTATGAATCAAATACTCTCTTTCTAATGTTTCTCAATTTCCCTGTATTTCTTCTTTTTTTTTTTTTCTTCTTATTCCTTAGATTTTATGTATCTCTAAATATTTGGTCCGTTAAGATTCTCTACCTTATTTTTTACAGTACCAATATTTATATTCTTTCACTTCCTGTAATCCTACTTCCGGCAACAAAAAGGAAATCTCTTAATTTTTTTTACTGTGCTCTGATTCTTGTCATACATCTTTTTGTCTTGTTTGCTGATGAAGGCTCTAAACTGAAACGTCAAAATCTTTTGCCTTGTCTATGAATTCAAGTTCAGCATACCTTGTTCTAACATTTAATTGATACAGACATAAAGTTCCTAACTTTACAAAGATGCCAACCTGTCAATCACCTCAATCAAAAGCAAGATTATTCATCGTATCATTTTCATTGGACCAAATCTCAAGACATCTTAAAAATATAACGTGGGAGGATTATAAGAGATAGGACGTACAAATACAACGATAAAGAATTGAAAATTAACTTTTTTTAAAAATGTTAAGTGTGAATTGGTAGGAATAGATGTGTGTGTGTGTGTGGGGGGGTATTATTTCGATGCTTTTTTTTTTTTTTTTTTTTTTTTGGGGTGGGGGGTATTGAGGAGATGAATGAAAAGAATTTACCCTGGAACGTTTTGAATTTTTAGTGCCAAAGTTGTATGTTCATGTTGTTTCTTCATTCGTCCCGTCTGCTAGGGAAGTCGTTCTTCTTTGACGATCCTGTCTTTTCATTTCAAGCTTCCACATGCACTGCTCTACTATTTCCTTTACCCATCTTTACATTTCCTATTCACGCTGCCCAATAGAAGCTGTTGGCCAAAGACATGGCCTCATTGTAAACACCAACACTGCAATAATGTTAGGAAAACTATTAAGTTTCACCTCGCTCAAAGGAATTGTCGGATAATTGCCTTAATGTCAGGTCTGCACAACATACGGCCCGCCAGCACCCCCTTTGCGCCCCGCGAAGTAACGAAATATGCTTTATTCTCTTTTTTCCTTACCTGCCCCCCCCCCCCCCCCACCCCTATTTTCTTTTGGACGATTTAAACAAATTTTGAGAGGCAAATTTATTTTCAAGAACCTGTTTAGAAACATAATTTTTCGGAGCCAAAACCGATCTGTGGCCGACTTGCCGAAGCCACACCCAGGTCGTTAAAGAGCCGCATGCGTCTCGCGAGCCACGAAAAATCACCAACTTACGCTTTGCGGACGACATAGACGGACTGCACATGGCTGGGAACGAAGAAGAGCTAGCCAACCTGGTAAAGCTTCTCGATAAGACCTTGTCGACCTACGGCATGCTAATCAGTGCCGAAAAGACAAAACTGATGACAAATAACAACACAGGCATCACCACTGAAATTAAGGTCGGGGAGGAAAGACTAAAGACTGTAGGCCGCTTCAAATACCTAGAAGTTATAGTCTCAAAAGAAGGCTCCAAGCCCGAACTGATGTCCAGGATTGCGCAGACTACAACAGCACTAAAGAGGCTCAAGAAAATATGGAATGACAAAAATATAGCCCCCAGCACCAAAATCAGGCTGATGCGCTCATTAGTCCTCTCCATTTTCCTGTATGACTGCATGTCCTGGACATTAATAGCCGATCTTGAAAGGAAAATAAAGGCGATGGAGATGAGATGCTTCAGAAGCATTATTGGCATCTACTATAGGGACCATATCTCCCATGATACAGTGAAAGAAAGGGTTCGTCAGACAATTGGGGAGTACGATGACCTACTGGTGACTGTGAAAAAACGCAAACTACAATGATACGGCCACGTAACAAGGAAACAAGGGCTTGCCAAAGAAATATTGCAGGGCACCACAAGAGGAGGGAGAAGAAGAGGAAGACAAAGAAAAAGATGTGAGGATAACATCAAAGAGTGGACAGGACTAACACTGGGCGAAGCTGTGCGGAAGACAGAGACGAATGGAGGAGGATAGTTCACGTGTCATCTGTGGCGCCCCAACGGTCCAAGGACTAAGGGACATGATGATGATGATGGGTCAATTTAAAGATTATTATTTTTAAAATTGGAGGCGGAAAGGGGGTGGTGGAGCTATTAAAAAAATAATTGCAATATAAATCTAGTTGACTTATTGTAAATGTTATATCATACAGCGTCACAACATCACAGCATAAACCAGAGGTCGGAAAACTTATCGGACTATTAGACCATTTCAGAGGAGTCGAGAATTGCCACACTAGGTCATTTCAGGGGGGTCAAGAATTGCCACACTAGGTCATTTCAGAGGGGTCAAGAATCGCCACACTAGGTCATTTCAGGGGGTCAAGAATTGCTACACTAGGCCATTTCAGAGGAGTCAAGAATTGCCACACTAGGTCATTTCAGGGGGTCAAGAATTGCTACACTAGGTCATTTCAGGGGGGTCAAGAATTGCTACACTAGGTCATTTCAGAGGGGTCAAGAATTGCCACACTAGGTCATTTCAGGGGATCAAGAATTGCCACACTAGGTCATTTCAGGGGATCGAGAATTGGCACACTAGGTCATTTCAAGGGGGTGGGTCAAGAATTGGTATACTAGGTCATTTCAGGGGATCGAGAATTGGCACACTAGGTCATTTCAGGGGGGTGGGTCAAGATATGGCACACTAGGTCACTTCAGGGGGTCAAGAATTTGTATACTAGGCCATTTCAGTGGGTCAAGGATTGACACTCTAGGCCAGAGCTCGGCAAACTCATTCATCAAAAGTGGGTCAAGGATTGACACTCTAGGCCAGAGCTCGGAAAACTCATTCATCAAAAGTGGGTCAAGGATTGACACTCTAGGCCAGAGCTCGACAAACTCATTTATCAAAAGAGACAAAAATCAGCAGCAAAACGATTTTTTTTTTACATTTTGAGAGGCAAAGTTCTTATCAAGAACCTTTCAAGAATTATTTTTTTCGGAGTCAGAACCGATTTGTAGGTGACTGGCCTAGCCGCACTCAGGGGCGCGATTTGTGGCACCCTGTTCTTGTGGAGCCCTGTAAATGTGGCATCCTGTTCTTGTGACTCCCTCTCCTTGTGGCTCCCTTTTCTTGATGCACCCTGTTCTTGTGGCACCCTGTTCTTGTTGCAACCTGTTAATGTGGCACCATTTTCTTGTTGCACCCTCTTCATGTGGCACCCTGTTCTTGTGGCACCCTGTTCTTGTGGCACCCTGTTCCTGTGGCACCCTGTTCTTGTGGCACCCTGTTCTTGTGGCACCCTGTTCTTGTGGAGCCCTGTAAAAGTGGTATCCTGTTCTTGTGACGCCCTCTTCTTGTGGCTCCCTGTTCTTGTTGCACCCTGTTCTTGTGGCACCCTTTTCTTGTTGCACCCTCTTCATGTGGCACCCTATTATCTTGTGGCGCCCTGTTCCTGTGGCACCCTGTTCTTGTGGCACCCTGTTCTTGTGGCACCCTGTTCTTGTGGAGCCATGTAAAAGTGGTATCCTGTTCTTGTGACGCCCTCTTCTTGTGGCTCCCTGTTCTTGTTGCACCCTGTTCTTGTGGCACCCTTTTCTTGTTGCACCCTCTTCATGTGGCACCCTATTGTTGTGGCACCCTGTTCTTGTGGCACGATGTTCATGTGGTACCCTGTTCTTGTGTCACCCTGTTCTTGTGTCACCCTGTTCTTGTGGCACCCTCTTCATGTGGCACCCTGTTCCCGTGGCACCCTCTTCTTGTGGCACCCTGTTCTTGTGGCACCCTGTTTTTGTGGCACCCTGCTCTTTTGGCGCCCTACCTTGTGTTTAACCGAGTTATATTATGAAATAGTTCTGAGAATTGTTAAATTTACATTTTTCCATTTGGTGTCACCTCCCCCCCCCTTTGTAAGGGTGTCACTCGATGTGGCACCCACACCTCACACCCCCAAGCGACGCCACTGCTTCCTGTTACCACTGTTAGCGTTAAACACAATCGATGTTCGCATTCCTGTCCCTTGATTCAGTGCTTGATAGCAACAGCTGGCAGACACGTCAGACTGGGAATTAGTCTGTTCATATTCATCATCAAAATAGTAGACAAAAGTTAATTTGTATTGATTATTGGCTTAAGTTTGTTCAGTTGCCACATGCGGGGATGGCTGTGGTGAAAAGTAGGAACCGATGCTAAAGTGGGGAAGAGGGGGGGGGGGGCTCTGTTGAGGGAGGGGTTTACGAGGGGTTCAGAAGGTTAAAAGGGTGGGGGGGGGGGGGGGGGGGAAAAAAAAAAGGTGGGTGGGGTTGAAAAAACAATCACGTCCTTCTATCATGTCCACGTGTTAACATGTTCATCTTCTGTCATTCATCTAAGTGTTCAGTGTATAGATGTAATGTAAGATTTCACTAACATGTTGTAACCCTACCATAATTCAAGGTGCTCCACTATATTTCTGCTACAGTACTGAATTATTATTATTTTTTTTTTTAAACATCACAGTCACTTTAATCTTTGCATAATGGCAGTGGTCTAGTATAAAGAATGTGAATGTTACAAGAATGGCATATTATTTGAAATATGTATAGCCTATAAGTCGTATGGTGTTATGTTTAGTTCTCATGGAGTCGAATGCTATACTATTAGTAATTCGAAAACTTCTGAATATATTATTTTTTCTTTATTCTGTCTGATGGTTTGAGGATATGTCTATTAATTCTATTAAAACAGTGTGATGTGATTGACCAGCGGTTCTAAGCCTGTGTGTCGCGACCCCTTTAGGGGGTCGAACGACCCTTACACAGGGGCACCCCTAAGACCATCGGTAAACACATATTTATGAAGTAGCAACAAAGATAATTTTATTGGTTTGGGGGGTGGGGGGGGGGGGGGGGGGGGGGGGGGGGGGTCCACCGCAACATGAGAAACTGTATTAAAGGGTCGCGGAATTAGGAAGGCTGAGAACAAGGTTCCAATAGACTTAAATCGACTGATGTATTCCGTGTGTCCTGTGGAAGCAACAAGTTCAACAAGGTTCCAATAGACTTAAATCGACTGATGTATTCCGTGTGTCCTGTGGAAGCAACAAGGTTCCAATAGACTTAAATCGACTGATGTATTCCGTGTGTCCTGTGGAAGCAACAAGGTTCCAATAGACTTAAATCGACTGATGTATTCCGTGTGTCCTGTGGAAGCAAATATAATACTTATTTTTTTTATTCCACAATTCTCATTGTGTCATTCCAGCTATGTGCCCCTATCGCGCTGTTTTTTGTCGACATCTCGAGACAGCTCAAACCTGTGGCCATTCAGTTGTTCCAGAAGCCAGGGCCAGACAACCCGGTGAGTAAATTTAACAAGTATTGATCACATTCACACGATTGATTTCTGGGGATTCAATGGACTCCTTTTCAATGTACAATTTATTCATTATTGATTAATTTCATAATTTTTAGCATCCATGAAATGATCCATTAACATCGTTCCTGAAAGAAAAAAAAACGTGTGCTCATTGAAATAGCTCTCAGAAGCAGATCACGTGAATAGCTGACGTTTATAACACGTGACATCACATCGTTTCCTTACAATGTCATGTGACAATTTGACGCCTAGTTGCCGGTTAATTCAGAACAGCCAAGCTGCTCACATCATTGTTATTTAATCAAGCAGTTACGTCCCCTCGAGTCTTGTGTGGTGCATGGGCAACGGCTCGAGAGGGGTGGGGGGACACCCCACCACCACCTTACGGAATTTCCACCAAAAAAAAAAAAATACTGAGGAAAAAACGAAAACTTAATCTACACAACTGAACATAATCATTAAGACTTATACAACTGTCAGACGATAATAGTAAGACGATTTGTGAGTCCTGCCGGTCGTAGCTGACAAACTGACTCAGATATCAAGTATCAACAAAGCAATCACGTGATATTATAAAGGAAAGAAATCATACGCATTTTTTTCATTTAAAGAAAATTCCTAAGGTCAAAAGAGGTCATTGCCTTAAACAATCACACTCGAGAGGTGGGGGGGGGCAATAAATAATATATATATATTTAAATTAAAAGGTTAAAACTTGAAGAGGTTTAGTCAATTGGACGCACTATTAAACCGTGACTGCATTATCATAATTGTCCATTATATATTTAAGTCATGGACAAATTTCGTTCAGCACTTTCAAAAGGAACGGTTGAGGCGTTGAGGCGACAACACTAGACACATTTGTGTCTATTGCCTCAAGCCTTCAAACCCCTAGTGCATGATTCCCTCACAAAGTGGCACTTGAAATCAGTGAAAACACCTCATCAACACCAGGAACAGAAACATTGCAAATCCCACCTACATGCATAGGAGCCAAAATGATAAATAAATTGATCGTGGGCCCTTAAGATATAGAAGAAGAAGAATTTTGATGTTATTATAATGTCCCGTCCCACCCCCCACCCCCCACTTTTTATTTAAATTTTACAGAATTTAAAGTTTGCACTTTTCCTTAAGTAGGCCTATATTGAACTGCCCTTCTGCGACCCGCACTTTCCATTAATACTTTATGAAAAAATGGTGCGGGCCAAAAAAAAAAAGGAAAGTTGGGGGGGGGGGGGGGGAGCTATTAAGAAAATAATAAGGATAAAGAATATTTTGTTACTTCGCCGGCCGCAAAGTGGGTGCTGGCGGGCCATATGTTGTGCAGGCCTGCTTTAAGGCCAATGTTCATGCTAGAAATATGTGTAGTCTACATAATTTAAAAAGACAAGGGTTATTTTTTCTGTTACTTGTGACGATTTTTTTCTCGATTTCCTTTATCAAGTGACAAATAGACCGCCCCCAGGGCCACCTCCAGGACCTCGAATATTTAAAGGGCCCAACGTCATGATGTGATTTTTAACCAGACTCTATCATGAAATTTAAAAAAAAATAATAATAAAAAGAGAGAGAGTTGGGGGGGGGGGGGGTTGTAGAAAACAGATAATTTGCAAGGGGGTCTCAAAGAAAAACGGGATGGCATCCTAACAAATTTTATATCTTTGAAGGGGTAGCCAATAAAAAAAAAAGAGAGAGAGTTGGGGGGGGGGGGTTGTAGAAAACAGATAATCTGCAAGGGGGTCTCACAGTAACACGCGATGGCATCCTAACAAATTTTAGACCTTTGAAGAGGTAGCCATTAAAAAAAATATTTTTTAAATCAGCCAGCTGTTTAAAGATTTGTATCCATGGTTTTGTGACATAAACAATAATTGCGGCTACTTGGGAAAATCTTCTGTCTGTGAAGCATTCTTTTTATTAAAACTAATAGTAGTATTATTATAATTTGGGTGAATTATAGGCTTTTTAAAAAAATTTATTACGCCTAGATATCAGATGTAGTGGATCTTTTGTATAGGCCTACTTAAATTGATCATTTTATGGTCTTTAACTGTACAGGTTTAACCGCAAATCAGGATGAATATATATATATAAAAAAAAACAATTAAGGAAAGTTTTAACATCATTGCCGTGTTAGCCGTTGCAACGCTGTCTAGGGCTTAAACTTAAATGGTTTTCTTCATTTATGTGCAAGTAGAAGCGTCAGAACTACCAACATCCCTCACAACTATCAACATCCGTCACTGTCACAGCTATCAACATCCACCAAGTAGGCCTAAACAACATACTGTTTTTTTGTGATTGCACTAGTTATCTCTTATAGGAACTTCCTTATACAATTATAATACGGCATTTTGACACCAGAGAACGAATTTTGAAAACGAAAGTGTCACGTTAAAATATGTGACGCTGGGGAAAAAATACACCACAAAAATCAATCAAATAATAACATTTTAAAGGAACCAAGAAGGGGGACTACTTATGCATTGAAGCTCACCACGTTATAAGTTATAACGATCTTTAAAAATTACGGAATGAAAAGTAAGACAAGGGAAGGGTTTTAGCACAACATTTTTAGATAATAACAAACCTGGTGCACTCCCCACAATACGCCAATGCGTATTGGTTTTTTTTTTTAACAGCTTGCTTTCCAAAAACATCTTTATTCTTTATCCACGGCAGCTTGCTCTCCAAAAACATCTTGATCCACGGCAGCTTGCCTTGTCGTAATTCGTTCACTTATTTTTTTGGTACACATTTTTTGCTGAACAACAAACAATCCCTTCTTTTGATTTTCTAACTTTGTACATTCACAGATTTTCACCCCACGATGCCCATCCTTGTTGTGGACGTTGGCCAAGATGTGGTACAACAATGCAGACACTGCCTACCACCAGGGCATTGCACATCTCGGTATGTTAACAGATCCAATGACAAGCTGTACCAGTACAGCGTTGATGTAGCTGTGTAGATAGTGATAGCTGCGTTACTCAGGCGTGGATAAGGGTGGGTCTGCTATAATGTTGCTCAAGCTACAGAGCCTTTGATCCATCCCATAAAAAAATGTTGGTTTTTGGGGGGCGGGGGCTTTGTGTGTGTGTGTGTGGGGGGGGGGGTAGGGATAGAGACTACTGACAGTCTACTGTTTTATTTTTTAAAATGTATGTTAATCTAGAAAAGTTTACTTTTTTTTTTTTTTTTTTTAGTAGTTTTGTAATTATTGTAGGGGCCAGCTCTAAAATACACTTTTCAAAAAGTGGCCATAAAATAGTGGTTATCTGTTATGGTACATCCTGACTGGAGAAGGAAAAACTTGATAACCTTGACCTCATTGATGGTGGCAAAGTGGATCCCATAAGCCATAGACATTCAAGCTTAATATAGGAGTCAAACTTGTATTTTCTCCCCTTGAATTGGTTTTAAAGTTTGTAATTTGTAGTGTCCCAGTAAATGCATACTTTCATTAACTGGTTTCTGTTCGACCCGATTTTATCAAAATTGCATTTCATTTTTGTCCCCCGGGATCCACCACAGATTATATGAAAGGATGGAGGTTTTAATATAACAGTACAAAGAAATGAATGAGAAATGTAGTGCAAAATATATGTTTCGTTTTGTGCAGGGTTCACTCACCTCATTATGGAAGGGTTTGCAGTAGCAGCAAACAGGAACCTGTCTGCATCACATCCTGTTTTTAAACTGTTGGCTCCCCATTTCCTCTACATCATTAGCATCAACAAGTGAGTGAAAACTGATGATGGCTGAAATTCAACTAACTTTTTAAAGAAAACTGGTCTCTAAAATTCAAATGGACTTTTCCAGAAAATTAGTCCCTAAAATTTCATAAGACTTGTAAAGAAAATTTGTCTTCAAATTTTAAAAAGATATTTAAAGATAATTTGTCATTTACTTTTACCAACAAGTTAGAGTAATGGTGTTTTTAGTGTTTCATGGGGCAGATACTGCAAAGCCAAATGATCTCTCTGGTATAATATAGGGCTCAATAGAGATGAGCATCATAGTTCTTTTCCGGGTTAGGGTTAACGTACGGCTCCCTGGGCGGTGGGGGGTGGCAACGCAACGTCATCTCCGGAGAGGAAGCAAAGCTGTTCCAACCCTACGTCCAGACCGTAAGACTCAATGGGCAAGGGGGGCTGTGACGCAAAACTGTCCCCTCATGAGTGGAAGCTACCTGCCCAAAACCCCGTTACTCAATAAGGCCGAGTTGCATGGCCGGAGTCCCCAGGGACTACTAGGCTATGTTTCACGGCCAAAGGTCCTAAGAGATAGAATCTCGACCTCCGAGTATTGATCTTTATAAGTTCTTTTCTGGGAACCAATATTTTGGCAGCATCGATGATGGAAAGTGAAATCATTCTCACATTTAATATTTACTGCACTTTAAGAAAAATGGTAGTTTCAGTCTTAGACGTCTGAGTGTTGGGCAAAATATCACAACTTATTCAGCCCTGCAATGCTTGTTAAAAAATCAGTTTTTTTCATTAAATTTGATGAAACAAAATATTTTATAAATGAAAAATATAAATGTGTTCAATTATTTTTGTATCATTGTCTGTTGGTTTGCTGTCAAAATCGGGACACCAAACTCAAGGACAAGTCTTTTGTTTGGTTTGGTCTAAATGTTTGTTGTCTTGAGGGTGGGTCTAGTTGGTGGGTCTACTGGGTGGGGCTAGTGGGTGGGGCTAGTGTTTTTAATGTGTGTATGAAAGTTACAAGAATCTTAAGGTATTTCATGCCATGGATGTGTTAATCTCCTCTCACTTTGATGCACTATTTCAGTCGAGCTCTAGAAAAGCTGGTGGGAGATGGTGGATGGGTGGATGTTACCATGAACTTTGGCAACAAGGGATTGTTTGCATTGGTTGTGAAGGCGTAAGTAAACCTATCTGTTATGTTTTCATTGTTTTTATTTCAAAAAAGTGACATAAACATATATATACATAAATACAAGTTCTCAATCAGGTGTTGACTTTCTGCTTGAGTCCGGAACACGGTTCATAAACAGACACACTCTGTCCAGTCTCTCTGCGCATGCGTGCTGTTTCCTTGGCTGGCTATCGGTACGGGCCACTCCGCTAGTCCACCATAACACTATCAACATGGGATTGTTTGCAGTGATTGTGAAGGCTAAGTAAAAATATCAAAAAGGAATTGTTTCCATTGGTTGCTAAGACCTAAGTTAACCTATCTGAATTTTGTACCTTGGTTAGATCATCAATATGAAGATAACCATATGTATTATTATTGGACTGTGAGGTTACTGAGTCACACATCTGTCAAATTAAGTGTCAGAAGAAACTGTTAGAAATTCTATTTAAACTCTGGATAAAACATTTTAAAGAGTATCTCTAAGATTCTATAAATTCCATTACTTTTAAATAACCCCATGCTATAATTGTGTTATTTAATAGTTTGACCTATGCTGAAATTAAATGATGGGTCCATTTTAAAGACAACTTTATTTTAGGCAGAAATGAATATATTTTTAATTGACATCTTAAGAGTAGACCAAATGATCATTTATACAAATATCTATTGTAGTTTGAAAGAATGGAGGTTGGATTTGCATGGAACATTGCCTGAAGATCTCAAAAAGAGAGGGGTGAGTTGTGGTGTACACAGAACTGTGTAATTGTTTCCCTGTCACCAATCAAATTTTGATTAATTAGCTTAATTTTGTAATTAATTAGTCAATAAATAATTACTAAATGCACATTAAAATATCGTTATGTGGGTTTTGCTTTTATTTTTCATTGCTCTTTATTATGCCCAATTTTTTTTAGTTGCCCCCTTGCCAAATTTTTTTTCTTTATTGTTATATATTTTGGGGGTGGTTTTAATGTAAGTAATAAAGTTAACAATAGATTTCTTTCTCTTCCCTTGAAAGGTTGATGACCCAGGCATCCTCCCTAGCTACCACTTCAGAGATGACGCCATCTTACTTTACAATGCAATAAGCAAATACGTCAAGGCTTATATTGAACTCTATTACCGTAAGTTGGCTACTCCTTAACAATACCTTGAGCAAATATGTCATGTCAGGGTTTACATTGAACTCTAGTACTGTAAGATGGCTCCTCTTTCATAAGCTCTTGAAGTAATCAGCTATGCTAGATTGAATTTAAAAAAAAAAAATAATAATAATTAATTAGTCCTTTTAATTTGATCTCAAACTTTTTGGGATACACCTGAAAAATCTTTTTTGACACACTAGCAAACCATTTGAAAAACTTTTTAATACACTGTTCTTCGCTGGTTGGAAACAGCTGTTGTTAAAAGTGAAAAAAAAACTCCTTTGAAGTACCTGCAATTTAAAATAATAACTTTTGGTTAATAACCATTCATATGAACACTGTGTTCCCCTTTTCTCATAAGAATCAGTGACTTCCCCTGGTCTAATTTCTTAGCCTTTTTATATCCAGCAACTCCTCAGGTCCTACAAAATGATGAGGAGATTCAAAACTGGGTCAAAGAACTTGTCAAAGAAAGAAACTTTTCTGAAGGTGGAGTAGGAATTTTGGTGAGCCTTTCAAATGCGTTTCCGTTATTAAAAATACAATATTGAATTAAGTTGCTCACTAAAATCAAAATACCAAAAGAACAAAATAAATTTAACTAAACCTTTCTCTTTGCAAATATATCAAATCTGACGTTAAGTAGATGAGAAGAAAAAAAAGGGGGGGGGGGGGACGACGACGACACACAATTCATAACATATACTTCACATGCATTATTCATCCCACAATAATGACCTACTTACTGCTGTAAATGGCTTTAAGTTATTAAAATATTTATAATAGTTTTATCAATAGAGAAAACTCCACATTTCAATCAATATTTATTCGATTTAATTATTTTTGTTTTACATTTAGGGAGTTCCAGGAAATGGCACCCTGACCACAAATGATCAGCTCCAACAAATAGCTACTTTTGTCATCTACACCAGCAGTGTGGGTCATGGAGCCGCTAATTTTGCACAATATGATGAATATGGATTCCCTCCTAATTATCCTGCCATGATGTTGGGAAACCCCCCCACAGATGTTGTAAGTGTTGGAATGAAAAACTCTCGTAGCTCTCTCTCTGGAAAGTTTTTGATTTCAAACAACTTTAATTTTCTTTTTTTTTTTTGTATTGCCTGCTGAGGAAGGCATTTAGGCAGAAACGTTCTTTAATTGTTCTGTCTTATTTTTCAAGCCTTAAAATATCTTGTTCCACTTTTTATTATTTTAGATTTAGTAGTTTACCATAACAAATGACAAAGGTTGTTTTTCCCACTCAGTAGTTAGTGTTTTAATGTTTCACTTGCAATATCTATCAATGTTTATAATGAAAAATGTTTTTTTTCCCCACTCAGTAGTTGATGTTTCACTTGCAATATCCATCAATGTTTATAATGAAAAAGGGATTGATGGGCTGGTAATTCCTATTTGATCAAAATTCTTATGGATTTTTTTTCTCTTAAATTTGTAAAACAGAATGCCAACATAACAGAGAAAGACATTATAAAGAGTTTACCTGACAAGGCCACAACACTAGACACGATGACCATTACTAAAATTCTCAGTACAAAAGGAACAAGAAGCCTGGGAGATTTTGAGGTGCAGTACATCTTTGATCCCAAGGCCAGGGAAATTGTGGATGAGTAAGTAATTGTCATAGTTTTTATGATAATCTAGTGACACGGAAGATAAACATTCTTTTTATTGGATGGAATTTTTAAGACCCTTTTTTTTTTTTGCATAGGTTTAAATAAGCAGCTAGATTTATCAACAAAAGATCAATACATATTCAATAAAATAGCATGCACCAAAAAATGGATTTTTCAAAAAGATTTTATGAGAAAGCTAACTCACTATTTGAAACTTTTGTTTATGGCCTTAAAGTATCTTAATGACACCATGTCATTGTCAGTAATTAAACAAATTATGTAGAGAATAATTTTAGTATTCATAAGGAAATAATCAATGCTTTTTTTTTCTTTCTGTCTTTGTTATAATTTTTTTTCCATGAAAGCTTTCTTGAATTTTTACTGCAATATGCCTATTTCTAGAGTTATTCAATTTTTTTCATTTAAAATTAATTCAAATTGATTTTAATGTCAATTCCTCATCATCTAGGTTCCGCAGTGATCTTCGTGAAATTGGTAGCAAGATTGCCGAGCGGAACACAGAACGAAATCCAACCTACCCTTACTTGGATCCCCAGTTTATTCCTAACAGCATTAGTATTTAGAGAAAAGAATTTTCTTAAGAGCTCAAATTTATAGTGATAGCAGTACAAGTATTATCTACAAACTATAAAAACTGCTTGAAACTAACAAAATGGGGGGGGGGGGGGGGGAATGAACAAATCGATTGGAAACAGTTTGTTTTATGTTTAATTTCTATAGATGGTGAACTCCTGTTAAGCTGATATTTTTGAGGAGTGAAAAAAATTTTTTCTACAAATTTGTGTTTAATTGCTCCAATTAGCCTATTAAGATGTACAAAATTTTAAAATATGTCAGAGACAAAAAAGGAAATGGCTGTGTCCAATCACAATAGAATCTTAAAAATGCCAACTACATTTGAATTCATTTATTAGTTGTGCATTGTTTTGATCTCAATATGGTGAAAGGTTCTCAAATCATTTTATTTTAGCAATAATATTTAACACTTGCATTTTTTACATAAGAAGCATGTGCATCAAAGGAAGAGAACACATAATAATTATGGTTCGTACACAAGTCCTAAAAGCATTTGATAGTAAAACTGTTAAATATTTCTATCCATTAATGCATTTTTGTTTATGTACCTTATACTTATGGCAAAGTACTAATAAATTGTTTAGCTAAATTCAGTAACATTACTGTATGTCTGGTCAGTTCATTTTACTCTCAAATCAGTTAGCTCTTATGATGGGAACTACATATTCAATTTCTACATATTAAATTTTTATTCATTTTTGGTTGTGGGGATTACTTGCATGCTTATTCACTACATGCTTAAAACTATAGATCTTTGGTGGGAAAAAAAACAAAACTTGTCAGTACATTTTATTGTAGAAACCTATTTTAATATCACTTTTTAGATCTATTTAATGAAAAACAAACACTTGTATAATTAAGCAAAAAAAGCTTTATTCAAAAGAAAATCCATGTAAATGTCTGTGTCAATGGAATCAAACATTTCATTCCAAGGCACTAAGTCACTATTGACACAAATACTGAAGAGAAAACAAGAGCCAAACATTTAAAGCGGCACATTAACAAAACCACAACCATATGAAAGTGTAAACTATTTGACTATCCGTGTTATCTAAACAGTAGCCAGTGCAAACTGTTGTTTACCTCAGATAATGAAAGACAATTTAAATTGCAGCAAATGTGACACAAGATTTGTCACCTCAGTCAAGGAGGCAACATAATTTGAACATAAATCTATAAATTGTTTTCTGATATGTCCAAAAGAACAGATTTTGGGTGGGGCGTGTTTAAAAGTTTCAAGTACAGACTTGCATCAAAACATTTGAAATGTGATTACATCCCTTAATTCATAAATGTAAGAAAATAAATGTGTCTTCATATATGCTGTACTTATGTCATTGAATTGAATAAAAAAATACATGTATCTTCTTTGTGATATAGAAAAATCCATTTAAATCAGAACTTACAGTAATTTTGTGGGCCTAACATTTAAACTGACATCTTGCAAAATAACAAAATGTATGGTGATTAAATTAAACTCAAGTCAAAATTTTTAAAAATTACATTCCAGTTGATATTCATTATTTCACATTGAGTCATGTTTCCGGCTACTGCAGTCAACGTACTAATTAATGTTAGCTGATAAGTTAGGAAATTACAAATTAGGAAATAACGTTGAGTAATATATGCATTTGTATTATTTTTAAAAAACGTTAAGGATTTCTTGTCTGCCATTTGATACATTGCCCAGTTTCTTTTTTTAAATATAGTTTTTCAACCAGATTGTGCTGCTTTCCACATTGGAAGTGACAGCATTTAACTGATCTCTAGGTGTATTTGTAAGCCATGTCATTTTTCTACTCCTTGGTGAAGTTATGCATGTTTATATACAAACTGAATTTGTCATTTTTCTGTTCCTATTTTTTAAATTATAATTCTTATGCACACAAATTAGAAGATGATTAACGGTATAGATATATGGGGGGGGGGGGGGGGGGAGGGGGGGGAGGGAGTGAACAGTACATATTTTTAAAAATATTTTAATACAAGTTATAGGGAAAAAAAAACACTTAAAAAAAATAAATAAATGATCAATTCTTTTACATAATTTGGAAAATAAGTTTGACTTTGTTCTGATGCCCCACAATCAGATGTAAATTTAACTTTCACAGTAAATATGAATACATTAGAATTAAGTATATTCAGGAAAAATCTTCGGTGTAAACATTTGTTAGTATCAAACATAATGTGGTACATAGATTCTAATAATAATTTACATGCAAAATGTAACCATTATAAAAATAGATAAGTGACCTTGATTGCTGTATGAATGCGCCACACAGTGGATTCTTATTTTAAAAATATATTCAACAACTGGAATAAAGGTTACGTTTTTTTTTAAAGGCTTTAAACTTTAAATATGTCAGATTAAGATATAATTTTTAAAATGTACAATTTATAACCATTCTTTTAAAAGAAAATTTCCCAAAAAGCAAAAAATATTAAATGTATCAAATTGTTTTAAGCATTGTTCTAATATTGTTGAGAACAACTGAACATTTATATGTCAATCAAAGCTTGAACAAATGTAAGAACCATAAATACATGAAGCTTCAAACCCATTTTTAAAGTACTGATCTAAATAATTGACTAAACATTTTTGATTCTTTACAACAGAATGGAACAAGACAAAACTCTTGGAACCAATGCCTGAGATAGAAATGTTACTGAGCAATTTTTTATGGAAATGATTATAGCAGAACAAACAAGTAAATAAATTTTTTTAAAATTAAGTAACCTGGAAAAAAATTTCATTTGTGGTAAAATTGAGAGACCAGCATGTTAACATATAGGAATGAATAAAATCAAACAATTCATCAGTATGAATATTGTGTTCGCTTGACAGTAAATATGTGTAAAAAAATGTGTAGGTATAGAAAAAATGTCTTCATATATTTGCAATGGCATTGGGGCTTTAAATCGTTTTTAATAAAGGCTATTGAATACTTAGAATCAACTCACCTTAAATAAGAACAAAAAAGGAAATAAAGAAACAGCTGGTTTGCTCCCTGTGAATAGTATGACATTAAACAGAGCAAACATTGACTAGCTTTTTTAAAATTATAAATAAAAAGTGTGAATCAAAATTTGTGAAACTGAGGCAAAACTTCAAATCAGTTTAGTAAGTAACAAAAATTATCTAAGGCATTAACATCCATCACTCACCCAGTGAAAATGATGCAAACTCCCAAAGCATATAAATACAATAGTATCACAAGACAGAAGAAATATGGACAAAATCAGATGACTAGTTATCTTGACTACAAAAAACAAAATCAAGTAGAAAGAAACAAATTTTGAAGCAAAATATAATGTACATAGCATAATTAAATTCTACCAGCAGAAAGGTAATACTCTTGATTGTTTGAAACCAATTTGTCAATAGACATTGATCTACTCCTGAATGTATGTCAACCAACCAATTAGTATACAGACATCGACCTAGTTCTGTCTGTATGTCAGTGATTAGAAAACACAAATTATCAAAGTATGAATTTAAAATGGAAAAATTAAGCAGAGCTAATTAAATAACTGTGAAGAAAAATGTGGATGAAGATGAGGTGGTTTTATAGCAAAACACTTCAGCACAACATAACTCTAAGCAAGCAACTACAGATACTAAAAATTAATACAGGGAAAAAAAGTCTGAATAGTTAAACAAAAGTCATTTTCATATTACTACATGGGGATTGCAAAATAATGTCAATTTTGGATATCTACCCAAACAAGTTGAACAATACAACTGAAAAAATTCATGGTGAGACACGTTTACCTGATAAACTTTTTGTGCATTTTTGTCAAGAAAATATAACCTTCTCATCTCCCTTTAGTCTTCCATAATCAAGTTGAATTCCAACATTTTCCATATTTTGGATTTAAATATTGCACATGAATGCAATACTGTTTGATTTCTGAGATTTTAGGATTTAACACCACCAAAATGGTGATGTAAGACTAAATAACATTTCATAGCCTTGCTAGTGAGTTTCATTAGCAATCTACAGAAAATAGACACGATTCATTGATACAAAAATCTCGTTATCTGTGAACACATTTCATGACGTCAAAAATTTTATGACAGTTGAATTTATTTAACAGATTTCCCTTTGAATCTGTTTGACAACCGGGCAGCATTTTTTTTCTGCCCCCGGTCAAAAGCTGTTTCTTGACACACATTTTCTTTATCGTGTACTTTTCGTCGAAGGCTTGGCGTTGTCACAGGAATACCTTTGTAGAATTTGGTTGGAGCTTTGACATCACATTTACCCTGCAAATTTTCAGAAGGATTCAGGCCCTCACCTGAACCATTCTTTCCCACCGGCTGGTGATCTCCACTATTTCTCTGCTTTAACACTTTCTTGGAGATTCTGTTGAAAAAGTTTGAAAATGTTCCAGATTTTCTTTCTCCCTTCTTTCCAGTTCGAATGAATTCCCCGGATCCGATGTCAGCATCCGTATCTTGATCACCCAAGGCAGGAAGCTCAATGGTTGGTCCAGAAACCAGTGCAATAGGCTGCTGGTAGGGTAAGCGTTTTGTCCCAGCTTCAAGATTCAGTGTTGGCAGAGTCATAGAGCTCTCGGGTCTGGCTAAGGGGACAAGGAAATTGTCTTGACGAACTTGCTCTTGGTACCTGTTAGATTGATTGTTGTAACTGTGTCAGGGTGATGATTGTGAGAACACTTCAACTGTTCGGTAAATCTTGTAAAAATTGACCCAATTTGTAGAGGAACAAATGGCATAAATGACCAAGTAAAAAATGTGTGCCCGGGTATTTTGTAATAATTCTATGTGGCCATCATTTTGACTGCTACTACAGTGCCACAGAGATGGGATGGATCATTTTGACTACAAATGGGGTTATTTTACAGTAAGCCAACACAAGGTTGAAATCTTGATCTAATAAATAAAAATATATTTGCTGAACATAAAAAATGTTTTTAGCTCGTTGAAGCATCATAATAAATTATCTGAAAACTGAGTGCAAGTCAATTTGCACTGTCCCCCCAAAAAGCTTCTATGACTTATTTGATTTTACTCTACAATTGCAAAAAAGGTGTGCTCAAATGATACACGCATCGAAGGTTTTTTTCAAATGTTTCATAAAGATATATCAGACCTGTTTACCCTCAAACTCTTAAAATCGTACAAAATCATCACAAAATCTTTCAATACATTATCTTAACAGTAAAAAAAAAACATGCAGTATATATAATGTATACACCTGAAAATCGTACATTGTACGCCAAAATCGTAAGAGTAAAACAGGTCTGATATATGCTTTTATTTGCTATAAAATAGGAAATTAATCTTAACCAAATATCAGATTAGAGAGTTTGTTATGTGAAATTTACCCTTTCAAAATTAAAAAAAAAAAATGTTGATCTTAAAGCTGCCCACAGCTGTTTCAACTTATGTAAGAACTCACCTGATCCATTTTTTGGTAATATTTATAGACTCTGCTAGATCACTTCTGCTTCTGTGGTGATTTCTGGAGTGACTAGATGCAGTGCGGGCCACTGGCTTTTGAATAGCAAACACAGGCGGAGCTTTGTACATCATTGAGTCTTGCGTTCCGAGTCCATCGGACAAGTGCTTTACTGGGAAGTGGGGGAAATATATTTAACCAGCACGCCCCCAAAATAGACACACAGATTGTATATTTAGGACCCAATTCTTTTCAACGATTACAACTAGTATGTCCTTGGTTGTTTGGATTATTATAATCTGGATTACCCCTTGGTTGTTTGGATTATTATAATCTGGAATCAACAAAACAAAACCTGATAATAAAGTTTCTCCAGTAAATTTAACCCCATGTGTATGAGCCTGATAATAGTTCTGGCTAAACTTTTAAAGGATGCCACATTAAATTACCAAATGAGCAATAGAATGGATCGACCCAATGACCAAGTTATACAGATGAGTTTTCCCACAATACAAATTATACTGTGTCTGCTTTGGGACATGTCAGAAACACTGAAACCATAGAATAATTTTCTTTTTAAATTCCCACAATCCTCACCTGAGCTGGTGACCACCTTGGGAGCAACACTGAGTGCAGTGATGGTCAGTTCTCCATCATATATCTCACTAGATGGTCTGTTTAACATTGGGGTACCCATCAAACTGATGTGACTTAATTCCATTGCATTCAAGTCTCGATCTGGAGTCGTTGACGAGTTTTGGAAAGCTCTTGGTTTAGGAGATTTCTTGGCAAGGTCTGGTGGTGCTGGTTGAGTTGGGGGTGCAACCGTCGGTCTGAAATTTCCACGGTGAAGTTCAGTCAACAAAGTGTCTATAACTGGCTTTTTTTCCTCTACCATTGAAGAGTTTGCACCTAAATTAGGATATAAAAGTTATTAAAATTAAAATAGCAGATATCAAATAAATGATATTTAATGACCCTTGAGAAACACAATACAGAGTCCATAATTTTTAAATATTCATACTAAATTAAGAGTGTCCTTAAAATTGAAGTTTAACAAAAAATGAAACAATAATACAAAATAATACCTCTTAAACCCAACTTAATAATGCAGAATTCGTTCAATATGTCAACAAAACTTTTATTATCAAGAGTAACATATAACAAATCTTTTGGCAAAGCAAAATCTTCATTTTCTCTTTAAAAATAAAGAAACGGTTCTTCGGAAGTCATAAAATTATAGTTACACACACACATACCAGCATCTTGACCAAACTTAAGAGCCAGATGTTTATTTCTGATCTGTTGACCAAGCATGTCACTGTGCTTCTCTGCTACACTCTTCTGTTTTCTCAAAAGTTGCACTTCCTATTAAATTATTTAAAAATAAGTTTTGAAAATTATGGATCTATTTACAATGATTTTCTTCTGCATTGTGAAAATGTGTAAATTTTTTTTTTTTAAAATGATGACCTACATAAAATTCTAGAAGGAAAAGATAACTCTGGATTTTTATTTCTAGAAGGACTCCCAATATTGCTCAAAAAGGAGTAGCAAAACCTAAAGTGTTTTAAAAATCATCTATTTTAAAAAAAATGCAATCAGTATTAATTTTTTAAATGAATTTTGAGTGCTCACCTGCCTACATAATCGCATCTGTTTAAAAAAGCCCAATAAAATACTGAAACAATTTTGAATATCAAAGGACTCCCCTTCACAGAAAAACTCTGCTAAGCGCTGGGATTGAAACTTCAAGTCTGTGATCTGGGCCTGAAGGTCTCGGAATTCACGTTTCACCTCCTAAAATGACAAAATTAAAATTCTCTGGGTTCATACAGACTTCAAGGTCCAGAATTCCAGCTTAGTGTTCAAAATTAACTTGTTTGAAATAATAAATGAATCGTAGTAATCATGATGAATCATCAGGCACAGAATAATGAGAAAATGTCCTAGACAAAATATTTTAAAATGTCCAGTGGCTTTGAAAACAGATGTCTTCAGTTTGATTTACATATTCAAACAGTTTTTTGAACTTTCATACAAAAAATACATCATTTAATAAATTAAACATTGTTCCCTCTTTTTTACATTTTTTTTAAATTGTAGATCTCCCAAGGTCTGTGGTAGTTGGGCTGAATTTTTCCAAGCTTTACACAGTGGCACGTCCAAGAAAATGCTTTTTAAACATAAGATCCTTTTTTTTTTTAAAAAGCATATCACCAAAAATGTTGGAATATGCAAACTTGCATGCTATTTCACAAGTAGTAAACATAGCCTTGAAACAATCTGCAGTGTTTTTGGAAGAATTGAACCTGTAATGGCTATTTAGACTTTTTATTGTCCCAATGATTTCATAGGTAATCACTTGTCTTTGTGCACTTTTTAAGGTTAATTTGATTGGCTTAAAGAAATATACCGACCAATCTATATATTTCTCACTTGTAGGGTTACAGATACTTAAGAAATGGGGACTGTACACGTCAGTTAAATGGAAACAGTTTTATTTTCTTAAGAATCTTTTTTTTTTTAAATCATTTTCCCAAACTTTTAAAGACTGACATTTTTTGTCAATGAACCCAAATTTTCCAGGCTCTGGATTTCTTATTTTTTTATCAAAACATCAATTAAAACTACATAGTGAAACTGCAGAGACAAATCCTGCCACTCAATTATTATTAACACACCACAACATAATTTCTATGTAATACAACAATTTTGGTTGACTATTCTCAACATTCAGTTTCTCTTGACTTAATCCCTTCACATAACTCTTAACTACCGTTTTTTTCCCTTAAACAAGCCAAGATGAAAATTGAATTATTATTATTTTTCTCATTATGTATGTCTTGCAGTACCTCCAGAAAACCATCGAAGCCCTCCTTAATTTCTTGACTGGCACATGCCAACTGGCGTACAAAGGAGTTGATCTGTGCATTCATTCTGTCAAAGTCAGCCTTGATCTGAGCAGGACTGCAGCTAGCGGGAGAAAGAGCAAATATTTTTTCGGGGCATAGACTACACAGTTTAGGGTAGCTTAATCTCTCTGTACCAGAAGTTAAGAAAATGCACTGACATTTAAAACAGTAATTGAGAAAGGACAGATCATCACTTTAATAATTTCTGTTTGGTCCTTGATAGGGTAGACATTTATTTTTCATCCCATGTCTGTTACCTTCCAGCTCTGAGTGATTGAGTTTAATTTAATTCATCATTTATCTCTCCACCATGTTAATAGCTGCCTTTCTTGGATGATGAATCCATGCCCAATATTTGCCCACAGCTAGGGATGGATTGAATCATAAGATTACACTATTATTTAGGTTTATATTATTACATTTACCTGGCTGCCCTCTCCAAACGAGGTATCTCACTTAAAAAGGCCAAAAGCTGCTCATCAGCTGTGTCCGCCAAATGAACCAGGAAATGGACCAAATGGTGACCTGGCTCTCTGGACTTGACATCTGCCAACCTAGTCAAAGTGTTAAGCTTGTATCCACTAGCATATCCATTGAACTGACCCTAGGGAAAAAAACAAAACATTTATTAATTTCTAATTTCCCCATCCTTTTCTTACATAAATATTAGAGAAATTTTGTGAAATGTTTCTAGAAAATTATTAATCTTGTCAAGAAAATGATTTAAATACAAATTATGTTGTCATTTGATTTTCTGAATAATAAATAAAACAATCATATGCCTTATTAAGAAATTATCATATGTAACACTAATTTAGGATTATTAACATATCCAGGCCCAAACACTAAAAAAATAAATAATTATGATGAAAATAAATTAACACACATGATTGAGGAAATTTCCAAGTCTGAGAATAAGAATAAAGATCTCTTTCAAGCCATCATTTCCCAGGATGATCCTGGATGACTCCAACATGCTGGACAACACAGCACCCAGTTGTGGAGCTGTCACTGAGAATTCAGCCTTTCTCAGATGACCTGCCAGTAAAATTCTGTAGTCGGGGAGGTCACTCAGGTGCAAAACAAATTGTTCAGCTTGTCCCAAACTCAGAGGATTTCCATCATAATACTTTAAATGTTTAATCTGGAAAAAAGATTTCATAACAAATTTCCAAAACGCAACAATTTATAATTATTTATATATATTTTAAAAAAACGAACAAAGAAAGGATTTTAATTTATTTACGCTATAAGAAAATAAATCCTTACTGAGTATTTGTATTATTTATAAATTCAAAGCGGGCACTGCTCCTAAAATCTCTGTAACCAGGAGCCAACTTTTATGAAATTCATCGGATCAAAGGGATGACATGAGGGTTTTAATTTAACAGATTCAACACCTAAAAAATATCACCATAATTTTTTAAAATCCTACCTCATCATGCTCAGGTAAAATATCCACCAAATGTTTGATAGAAGGCAGGGGGAGACCAGGCCCATCAACACAGAGAAGCCGCTTCACAAGGGCGCAGGGTTCTTCATCCAAACGGTTTAAAAAGAGGTTCAGACTTATTCTTGTTCTGTTACTTAGTAATGGGGTCTGCAGAACAGTGAAGCAAAATCACATGGTCTACTTATTTTTTAACAAATGCTTTGAATGAAACTTCCAATATTTAACCTGGAACGGTTAGTTCAGTCCTTAAAAGAAATGTAAACATGCACCCCAATGTTATTTTACAAATGGGAAAGTTACCTCTGAGTCATCAATCCTAGAGTATTTTTCCCTGAACATTTCCTCAACTTGTTGAAAATCAGGCTGGATCTTTGACTTTGATGCATCACAGTTTGCCCACAAAGAATTTTGAAATATATCTAGTTAAATAAACATTGTAAAAAGTAATTAATAATAATACCATCAAATGCACCACTAAAATATGATTGGTGTCTTTATAAATTAAATTTAAACTAGTAACTGAATTATCTTTGACAGGACTAAAATGAATACAACATTGTTTTATATGTTAATATATATATTTGATAAGAGCAGGGCAATTAAGCGCAACTAATACTTAAACTTCTGGTATTCCAAAACTAATATTTCCAACTAGGAAAAAAATATTGTTATTAATGGATTAATGAACAATATAGTTGAATAGAGAAAAAATGTAAAATTTTCCTTTTCAAAATTTATAGATTTTATTATCAATGATCAATAACTGGGTAGTTATGTGGAGTTAATTTTAAGTGGGTGGTAGTTTTGGCAATGGAAGCAAGTTCTTGATAAAATAAGTAAAATGGCAACATTGAAATTTATTTATATGTGTTCGCTAAGGTGCCACCCCCTTATTTTTTCCCCTTTGTGATGCATAGTAACATAGGCCAAGTTTCATTTATATATTTTAATATTTACTGGTAGCTCAATGGTGTGAAATGTGTTCATGTGTATATTTTTGCAATAAAAAGTTTTTAAATTAACATTGAGCAATTATTCATTTACAACATTAAACCATTATATTGTTTATTATATTACGGATCATAAAGCAAGATGGCAATCTTATCCGCAATTTAGATACATGGAGCAGTGACAACATGACTACATTGTTGGCCAACACAGGGTGAGAATTTTCAGTGGAGCAGGGGCGTCTTGATTCAGGCATTAATCAAGTCCTGAGAAATTATCACGAGCAGCAACAGTACTTGCTCCAAGTCATAGAAAAGCACTGACATGACTTTCAAAAATTCAACAAGTCTGCCTTTCCTGCAGCAACATTTACACTCGCAGACAAATAAGACAAATAAAATTGACATTGTAACATTCTAAGTTACCGGTACTGTTTGAGTGAAACTGATTTTGTGCAAAAATGTTTATAATTAACTTCTGAAGTAACTGTTAACAGCTACAGGACATGTCTTCTGTTTTAGTATTTTTTAAGGAATGTTACAGTATATTATGACATGTGATGGTAACATTGACATCATACAATAATACAGGAAAAAATCATATATTGCAAAACTTTGTCAGCTACCGGTAACTATTATTAGAACAAATCAAAATTTTGAAAGCTTGTTTCTGTTCACTTTATAAACAAATTCGAGGACTGTGGGGATGAAAATTAGAATATTAATTTTTAAGTGGTGCCCTAAATTGTCCAATTTATCAATTTCTCCAACCAAGGACTTTTGACAGAGTGGCTAATGCTCTGTTGCCCACCACAAAACACTTACTGATTACTGACTCATCCAGCTTAATCCACTTGACATTCTTCATGCTGTTAGCTGGATAAGCCATCTTATTACGCTGATACATCAGATAATTTGGATGGACTTGAGATGGATTGGACTGCTCCACCGGACTGGGGTCATCCTCTGTTTGAAGGTTGGTCTTGCTGGGTATTCTTTTACCAATCAGCGTCTGCTTGGTGTCCGGCCTCGCATCTTGAACAGCAGTAGAGTTCAAATTTCTGCTGTTTTTTTTAATGTAGGGAGATACACCAGACTGCCTCTGTGGAAGTTTGAAGGGCGACATGTTGTCATACATACTCATCTGACCCAGGTTCCTCCTGACATTACTTTGGCTACTTGCTCTGTCCCTTTTGATACTGGAAACTTGCTGTTTGCCAGTCCTGTTACAGCTTGGACTAACTGTTCGGTAGTTAAAAGTGGTACCCCCATCAGCATTGTAGCTGGGGGGGCTGAGTTTATCTTCACACCCCAGGTAACCTGAATCAGCAGACGTCTTCATCCCTGCGCCTTCTTTCTTGGCACCAGACACAGTTCTGTTTTGTTTTGACTCACAACTGTTGCTTGACGGTGGTCTGGGACAAGTTGTCATCAGTTCTGTGGCAGCCGTGACGGCCTGACATGTAGCATGAGTATCCATTTCTGAAAGGCTGTCGACATCCAATGTTCCATGAACTAAGTGATGTGTGTGCCTTTCCAGCAATTGCCATAAATTTTCACTGAAATAACAAAAATATTACTATCAAATATTCATAATAAACTTCACATTTCAATACATTGGATTTTAATAATAAAGGTAGGATCTCCCAAAAATTTCCGATACACATTGTATAAGAACAAAAAAATATCTTAACTACCTTTTTTCCTTCTGTAGTTCAATGGCAAGTAGATCTTGTAGTATATTCACAAAAGACACCATCTTAGGACCTCCAAATACCTGGAATAAATTTTTTTTTTTTTTTTTAAAAGACAAACAATGAACAATTCGTCTAGATAGTCTCCATAAAGTAGCAATGTCATTACAGTAGAAAGAACTAAATATATTTTTTTTAAAGTGTGTATTGATTCCAGCTGTGGATTCCAGGCAGAGTGACAAAACATATTTTAAATTAAATTGTTTAAAGCTTAAGGAGCATGAGATAATGATGTATTTCATAAATTAACCAGAGGTTGACAATAATGCTTCCCCCTTATCCAGATCCACTGTAAGAAGAATAAACAATTAAAATATGGGATAAGTAATAAGTAGATAATCAAAATATATCTGAATTTAATATGGAAAAATGTGGTTAAAAGACTTACCCTGGTCTGAATGGAATCAGCTAAATCATGTGGATCACTCAAATCCAAGTTGGAGTTTAAGTCAATGAACATTTCATCTTCATGTTTTTTATCTGTAAAAACCTGATATAGAAATGGAATTCAACAAATATTTTAACAGTGAATTTATTACTATTATTATTAATGAGATTTAAAAACTGCTGAGGTTTATTTCAAATTAAAAATTCTTACCTGCAATTGTGTGTAAAGGTCTTCATCTGTGTCTTCCCTCTGGAGAAAGGACAAGACGTCCAGTAGTGTTAAACCTGTGAAGGTGAATATTTCATTGTAATTTTTTTTCCTAACCTAACAAAGCCTCATCCAGTTGCTTTCTTTCATTACGTCTTAAAAAGTAAACAAAAAACACACATCTGGTTACAATATATCTTAACTGTGAAAAATTATTTATATTTTTGAATTTACACTTCATGTTAATACCATCAAACACAAAAAAATTAAATTGACATTAAATAATGAGCACTTATGTAAGAAAGAAATTAGCAAAGCTTACCAATAAATTCATTACGTATCCGACATCTTTGGGTTCGGTCACTGGTGGAGCATATGATTGCATTTATAAAAGTTAGCACTGATGTTTTGTGGGGTATGGTTTCTGCCAGTTTCAGCTCATTAACAACAAAACTAAAACGATGGAACAAGTGCTTCGTTTGCTGTAGATAAAACAATACAGTTACACTTTGCCAAAAGTTAGAAATTATGAGTTTTCATCCAAAACTTGCATTTGAGTTAGGAAGTGATAAAATGTATTAGTTCTACAAATAATAGAAAAAAATTGAAATAGTACCATAAAAGTCAGTTTATAAATTAATGTAAATAAAATAAGCAAATAATTTGCCAAATTTAGAGAATTCTGACTAAAGAGCTTGATAACTAGTAGACTTTACTGCAAAAAACACAATTTTTTCTTCTTTCCAAGTTGCACTCAGAGAAATTAATTAGGTAGAAAAATGCATTACAAATCATGGAGTCATTTAAGATTTTTAAAAATATGTGACAAAAGATGTAGAAAAACTTTACTCTATATTTATCTAAAGCATCCAGCAATCGTCTGTGAGCCAATTTGTTGTAGACACAAACAGCAGACAAAATTTCCAGCACATGTTTGCGTGGCAAAGTGTTGGCCAGATCAACACCTAAAAAATAATAACGTAAATTTTACCATACGTTGAAATACACAAATTATTTAGAAATTACTAAAGCAAATTATATTGTAGTGTCAGTCCAAAAATACTTTATTAATTACCAACAACTAGATTATCAACTGATTAAAATGCTTCACATCTGGTTATTTTCATTGTTAACCTTTGAGAAGTTTAAATATGCAGTCTTGACTGTTGACAAGTGTATCCATCCCGACCCGAGAGTTAAGCACAGCCCTGATACATGAAAGGCAATCAATTTGTAAAATTGCATCTGAGAAACCACAAAATTTTGGGCCAATCATGTGACCAAGGGAATCCAGCAAACTATCCAGTCCATCCAGAGCAACGAATTCCTGAAATAATACAATGCCCTAACTTTTATTTATTAAAAATTTAAATTTGAAAAAAATGCATAAATTTATGAATGTGTACCAGAAACTAAATACATTTTTAAAAAGCTATTATTGTTCTGCCTTATTAATACTTGTGCAACAAAATTAATGTATGAATTTTCATTCACCTGCAGCCATGCATCAGAGCTTGATTCAAGACGAGTTCGAAGAGCATAGTAAACTTGAACAGATGGTGAATGTGAATACAAGACACAAGCCATCGGATCACACCCATCCAGTTGATGCTCCATCTGATGAGATGTGACTGTTGTGTCCAGGTCACCAAGACCTGCATTCCTCATTTTAAATTATCTGACTGGATGACGGAGTAAATATTAATCATTTGTTTAACTAAATAATGCAAAAATGACTTGTGAATTTTAAATGAAATTATGATTATGAATATAACTTATATTTAGGCCGTTGATTTTTATTTAAGTAAAATTGTTTTGTTAGAAAAAGAACAAAATTAGACTGTTTTACGTTACAAAGTTTCATTTTAATATAGCTTGAATTGATGAAATACATTTTAGGTAAGATTCATTTACTAGACATGATATTTGGGAAAATAGTAAACCCAATGTTTCTTTCTTAGTTCTAATGAGTTGATTTGCTACATTAACTTAAACATGTAAAATTATGTTTTTAAAAAACAAAACAAACCGTTAAATTTAACTATTATTACTAAGTTTAACTATACGTAAATATTTTTGTTTTGTAATTACATTTTTTAAAAAGCATTTATGACTTTTAAACTACCATGGGCTATGGTTAGAAATAGCAATGAACTAGATTTTGTTACATTTTGTATGCTGACTCAAACCCAAATAGATTCTACTAGTCTACATTTACAGCTGAAAAAGTTTTCAGGATCAAATTAACTTTAGCTTTTAATTTTAATGGGGAAAACATTTACGGAATGGAGAAAAATTAACTGGTCTTTGTCTTAACCATACAACAATATAGGTAAATGTAGATATAGCTAAGTCCTATTATGTTAGGCTCATTATTTACTATAACTATAATGTTTACGCAGGCCATTAGGCATCACTAAGAACACTACCTACTCAAAACTCAATATATTTACTATAAAATTACAAATCTGAGTAACCTCCTTGTTAGTTATTTATTATACTGTTTGCATAGGCCCTATAATGAATATGTTAATTTTAAATCTAAATCAATGAAAATTGATTCAGAGGCTTCTCATGTCACTCCATCATGATTATGAATTTGAGTTCACATTTAGAAACAAATTAACTTAAATACTAATATTCATCCTAATAATAAAATAGGTCTTGTTGCAGTGACGCCACAAGGGGGTTTTGAGCAACATTGGGTGACAACCTCATAGTTGGATGACACCCGAGGATCGCTAACTCAATAAAATAAAATTTACTAACAAATATTTTAAATCTCCATAATTTTTAGAAACAGGCAAAACTTTTCAAGGACACATTTTTAAAGTTATGTTAAAACTATCAAGATAAAAAAAATCAAATACCTGTAGTACGACTTTATTTCTATGACTCTATGTACTATGACAAATAACCATTACGTTAGTTTCAATTACTATGACTATATTTCTATGACACTATGCATTATGTCAAATACGTAAGTTTCTCTTACTATTATGACTATATTTCTATGATTCAATGTACTATCTCAGATATCAAATACATATGTTGCTATTACTATGACTGTCATTTGACCATGAGACATGAGCCTATCTTTAAGTGTTAGCTTATTGAATTATAATGTATGATATCAGATTTCTCTCCGCTATAAGTATAAAAGTTTAAAGCAAGCTTAAACAAATTTTTGCACAATGTCTCATTTTTTTAAAAAGGGCATCCTAAAGTTCTTACAAACTTACAGATATTTACGGACAAATCAATCTAGGTCATAGTTTTAAAGACTGTAACGTTACGGAGGGTTGACAAACCTGGTAACAACAAATTGAAAATAGCAAATTTGACAAAGCTCCCTTTAGTTATAGTTAGTAGTGGAATTCATAACATATTTAAGTTAAATACAAGAGCAGGATGCTACCAGATAGTGACAGAGTGCCACCAGAAACAAGTGCCTCAATAACAAGTTGCCACAAAAACCAAGTGCCTCAATAACAAGTTGCCACCAGAACCAAGTGCCTCAATAACAAGTTGCCACCAGAACCAAGTGCCTCAATAACAAGTTGCCACCAGAACCAAGTGCCTCAATAACAAATTGTCACCAGAACCAAGTGCCTCAATAACAAGTTGCCAACAGAACCAAGTGCCTCAATAACAAGATGCCGCCAGAACCAAGTGCCTCAATAACAAATTGTCACCAGAACCAAGTGCCTCAATAACAAGTTGCCAACAGAACCAAGTGCCTCAATAACAAGATGCCGCCAGAACCAAGTGCCTCAATAACAAATTGTCACCAGAACCAAGTGCCTCAATAACAAGTTGCCAACAGAACCAAGTGCCTCAATAACAAGATGCCGCCAGAACCAAGTGCCTCAATAACAAATTGTCACCAGAACCAAGTGCCTCAATAACAAGTTGCCAACAGAACCAAGTGCCTCAATAACAAGATGCCGCCAGAACCAAGTGCCTCAATAACAAATTGTCACCAGAACCAAGTGCCTCAATAACAAGTTGCCACACAAGAGCAGGGTGTGGACATAGCTTTAGTGCGCTTGACCCAATAAGTTTGGTCTGGTAGTGCTGCTTAAACTTAAGTTTTAATTGTTAAGATTAATGTTTCAATAAACATGCATTTTTTAAAACTGCGAACTAAAATTCTATTTTTCTTCCTATGTCTTTTGCTTAATTAATTAATAATAATATAAGTGATTCTGTATAATTTTATAATGTGGTTAAGAATTTCATGAAGACGTGGTGGGTTGGGGGGGAGTTGGTGGTGACACTATCACTATGAGTGGCATGAGTTTAACTAGACCTGACCTAGAAGCGCCTCTGCCTTGTTATTAGTATTAGTATTCTTGAAAGTTAATTACAATTACATCCTACAAATCATCCAATTTCAATGTATAAAAAATAAATATGTGTTAAATGTTTGTAACCTTAACTTAGTTAGTGTGTAAGCTTTTTTAAAGTTATAAATTTAAATAGCCTTTTAAAATATTAATATTTTTTTAGTTATGTAGTAGCCTACAAGTAAGCCATGCCCCACTAGGTGGTATGACTCTAAATTTATATATAATTTTACTATTAGAATTCTGCCTTCTGTGGACAGTTGGTGGTTGTTAGCAGTATTAGTTTAATTAATTAGTACGGTGTGTATTATAATATTAATATTATTACTAATTAATAATTAGCCTGCCTAGGCTAAAAATTAAATCATAACTAAAAGCCTATACCACCAAGGCCAAAGCAGATACAATAACTTGAATGAGACTAGAATCAGTTCACTTCATTGATTTCAATCACTGAAAATTTAATAGGCATATCGTAGAGGTCTACTTAAACTTACTATCTTTAAACTTATATTATACTTGTGAAGCTGTACTGTAGTTGTAGCCTAGCAGAATATTTTAAATTTAATAATACGCGTCGTCTTTCATTGAAATCCAGTGATGTATATTGTCTTGAAGTCCCTTAAAAATTAGCCGACACCAAAACATAACACCCGGTAGCCCACTGCAGTGTGCACCGGATTACCTGTAGTATACCGTATACCTCGAGAGGTGACTCATTTGGTTACCTCTTTGAAATCCCCGCCATTGCTTTGGGGCACATTCACCTGTGTTTACCTTGTGCCAGGATTTTGTTGTTTTAAAACTTCGTTATATTTTTATAATTTAAAAATGACATAGATGTATATATCTTGATATATTAATGAAATAAATTATCTTAAATGATTTATTTGTGTATATCTATGCATATTGAAAAAATAATTATATTTTATGAAAATGAAAGTATACGATGTGCATTAGTAGCCATTAGAAAACGTAAGTCGGCTATCTATGCAATATGGCATACCAAATATGACCTGCTCTAATTGCCGAGAATAGATTTTAATTAAAAGGTAGAAGGGGTTCGTACATTTAATAACATTCTATGGGCGGAAAAAACCCAGTTACTCACAAAAATAAAATAAAAGACCATAAAATAACCAGTCAGTGGGGTTGTCCGCATGTGGCTTACCCACTTAACATCCCCCCGGTTGCGGACGTTCGTGGAGGCATATTATTAATATTATAGCAAAAAAATCACCGCAACGTTTTTTATTTGTCGTCAAACTCATACTAATTATTCTACGGTACTGTTGCTTTTTGATTGTGTTTAAACTCAATAGATATGAAAAGAGTAAATAGGTATTCGTACGTGATGAAAAAAATTTCGTCGACGGTAAACTGATCGACGGAAATTTGGTCGAATCTTTTTTTCAGTTCACACGACGTTACAATTTTCGTCAAATTTCTTTTTGAACGCACTTTACTATAAAGTAAAACAAAATAATGCGTTCAAAAAGACCTTTGAAGCAAAATTTTAACGTAAAAACTGAATAAGCTGTGAAGCTATTTAAAAGATGCCGCGCAGCAGTTTTGAGTACCGCGCAGCAAATTTCCATGTAAGTGTCTGTTTGTGTTTGTGGGCTGTAAACGGTTGCACACACAAAAATTGATGTAAAACTTCGCACACAACTTTATGATTTTGCGCACGTACCAACAAACCTTAGAGAGAACATTGGTTTACGGCAGTGCTTTCCAAGCTTTATTTTACCCCGCGCCCCAACTGTTCACCTAACATGTTTCAATGCCTCATGGAGTCCTTATTAATCAACCAATAAATTTTGTTCCAGAGTTTTTATATCATTTTAATCACTTCTATAATTATTACATCCCTTTTTGTTTATTTAAGCAATTTATACATCTTTGTTGGCGAAATTCCCGCCGACGATATGTTCCAGAGGCGAGATGAATTGGTGGAGGCAAAACGGTGGCCGCGAATGGTCCCACCCCCTTAAATCTGTTATGTTTCCTTTCTTGGGAGGATTTTAAAAAAAAATAATCGGCAGTGAATAAGTTGTAGGCTACAGACAGCTAAGAAAAAGGGTCGAGGTAGCTTTGACAGATAGCATTAGTTTACGTTAGGTAGGCCTACATCACTAGAGTCAACGGTTGGTGGAGTTCGTGTAGGACGGTGTGGTCGATGAAATTGAAATCGGATACAAACGGTCACGAGAAAGGAGAATTCTGGAAACCAAAAGTTTTGGCTGCTACTTGACCATAAAAATAATGTCACCATGTGATTTTTCCAACATACGGCATTTTTGTCTGCAAACTTCATGTCATCGAAGTAATTTTCTCTCAATCTTGGGTCAGCATCTTTAATTTCAGAACTGTATGTAATGTGCCTTCATTTTGTTATAATGAATGGTTCAAAAGACCATAATGACGAGAATTTAAAATTATCATATAAATCATTGGTTGGTAAGTTTCAATCTTGAAATATTCTGGAAGCACAACCTATTCCTTCCTACAATCATACTAACCACTACTAGTAGCCTAATGCCTTTTTGCACTGGTCTGATTTTATCAGTGGGAACAGAATAATTGATTTCAGAAGTTCAATTGTCAGTTAAACTTATCATTTTCTTGTGTAGGTATTTAGTGAAACCTCTTGATCAGGTCCAAGATTACAGCAAAGAAACCTGTCTTAGCAACATTTTCCTTCGTTGACAGACATTTTGCTTCATTGATTGTTTCTGTCTTAATCATATATTTAATCTGCAATTGCAATGCCTTCCGAAAACTGCCGTAACCATATTTGAATACAATTTTGATGCCTTAGTGGCATTGACACCAAAGGCATGAGTTTATCGCACTGGGTGACACTAACCCTAGTGACGCCACTGCATTCACCAACCGAATTGAGCGAGTGAGCTGCATACTGGTTGTCGTGTGCATTTATCTAGGATTATGAATTTGAAGACATTTTTAGCACTATTGTCAATGACTGTCCTCTCAGATTTTCAGTGGCGTTGCTATACCACTAATACTCCCCTAGTTTAAGAAGATAACAGTGTAGTAAGCATACTTCCGTCCTCCGCCCCCCCCCCCCCCATTACATTGAGATTGTGTCTCAACAGCCATCTTTGATGTTTAGCCTATCAATGACTACCATCCAGTGAAAAGTAACCTGTTGTAATTTATTGTTTTCCTTATATCTTTTCTCCCCTTAATTCTATTCTAATTTTTATTTTTGTCTAAGTTGCCAGTCATTACTTGTCTTTACATTGCGTCACTACGCATACCTTCAAGATCATTAATCCTTCGTCGTATTGGGGTCCCTAACAAGGGTGCATGCATACTTTGCCTTTAGATTATTAGTAGTAGGGACTGATTTGCAAATAGTAATGAGCAGGATTTGTCTTGGGGAGCAGAGAAGACAAGCAGGGTGTGTGACTGGAACAGTGTCCATGCAGATAGGTGTACGACTCAAATAGGGAGAAAGCTGAACTAAAATTAACATTTTACTTGACACATTTTATTTCACTAAGTGGGTTTTCTTTGTGTAGGGTACTGGTACTCATTAAGCACTGAGAAAGGGAACAAAATTATAATTTTACAAATATTTGTTAGGAAAGAGGATTCAACAATTTACAAAAATATAATAAATATGTTTTATAAATCTAAAACATTGTGGAGATTAAAAACACCTTAAAATCCTTAAAGGACATTTTAAAATTAAAATGCTTAATATAACAACACCTTAAAACTTAAAATGCTCCAAACAACAACACACAACACCGTAAAGTGCTTAAAACAACACACAACACCGTAAAGTGCTTAATACAACAAAACCTTAAAGTGCTTAAACCAACAACACACAACACCGTAGAGTGCTTAAAACAACAACACACAACACCGTAAAGTGCTTAAAACAACAACACCGTAAAGTGCTTAAAACAACAACACACAACACCGTAAAGTGCTTAAAACAACAACACCTTAAAGTGCTTAAAACAACAACACACAACACCTTAAAGTGCTTAAAACAAGAACACACAACACCTTAAAGTGCTTAAAACAACACACAACACCTTAAAGTGCTTAAAACAACACACAACACCTTAAAACAACAACACAACACCTTAAAATGCTTAAAATAACAGCACACAACACCTTAAAATGCTTAACAGTTTATTTTAAAACAACACCATGAACAGCTTTCGTCCCCTGTCTAAATGAGGGTAATCACCAATTAGTACACCTTGAAAATATTTCATTGCCACTTGGATAGCATTATCCACCTGACTGGCAGAAGAAGGATAAAATTGAATTATTGCTCTTCCACCTGGAAGCAAAACATTTCTAAGTGATGAGAAAAATTTGTTCAGTTGTTGTTCAGCTTTACCATGAAAAAGCCATTGGAGAAATGAGATGCTGATTGCCATGTCAAAACTATTGGGCTTAAATGGTAAGCCGTACCTTAAATCCCATCTTACAACATCTGCTGCTGGAGTAGTGTGAGTTACTACATTTTGAAATCTACAATTATTTTCACATGTGGATCTATAATTATCAATTGATGTAAAAGCGTTGTTATCGTCCTCTGGGTTTCTGGTACTTGATGTTTCCAATTCTCTTCTATAGTGGTCAGAACATTTATCACATCTTAAAGGTAAAGAACATTCCTTGCTTCTGAAAACATTTGAGTTGTTGTGGATAAAGTCTGGTTCTTTAACTATTCTGTAGCTGCCAGATAAACACAATGTTTTGAATTCTGACAGTGATTGTAAATTCAAGTCAACACCAAAGCATGTGTGTCCCATATTTAAAATTGGTATTATGCTTGCACCCTCGCCACATCCGATATCTAAAATCACTTTAGGCTTCATGTTGCTGACATCTAAGGAGTCCAAGATTTCACTCTCAGTACTTCTAAATGAGTCATTGAGTTTAAAGGCCATTAGTACGAGCTCATGCTGTATCCGATGAGTACTCTCTGATCTCCCCTGGCTAAGCCCTTTTGTTTGGCTACAAAAATTTGCTAAATTAGTTCGAAAATCAGGTCTCCTGACCACATTTAAATTTGCTATAAGTTCAGGCCGCCTGTGAAAGCCACCTCTGATAGATTTAATTTTGAAATCATTAAGACTTTTACAAACTTTTATCCCTGTTGGAATTTTAATATAATTTGATGCTGTATTGGGAAATATTAAAACTTTGCGTTCTAAATTATGTAGAGATGCAAATACTTTTTTCATTTCAAGAGCATATTTTACAACTAATGGTGTTTTCTTTTCATTTGCTTTTAACTTCTCTTGTTCGAAGGCAGTGTAGTGTAATCTGAAATAAATGGGTCAGAATTAGTTTTATAAAATTATATACTTCTTGTTTTAATTTATACGAAATCTACAAAGAATTGCATAGAAAATCATATGGGCAATATGGCTACATTCTACATTAAATAAATTATTTAAAATATTTTTAAATACCGGTATTGTGTGCATAAAAATTGTTAACCCTTAAAAGAATACTGACAGTGCTATCAGAGTCGAAAAAAAACCACACAACTTTTTTTTTTACTATATAGTAACGCTGACCTGTAACGGAGTACTCTAGTACCCAACTACTGTTGTTGTAAGTATTAACTATAAAGTCTATTATTTGCGACTGATTTCAAGACAGAAGCCTACACGCCTATAGTACATACTGACTATGACCACCGATCACTATCAATCATCATCTAATGACTTTGGAGGGCCGACTGGTCGAGGCCGTTAGGGGTAAGTTGAAAGAGATAGGATAACAAAAATAAAATAGGCATATATATATAAAATTAAGTACCAGTATAGAGTAGTAAAGGGTATTAAAGGCATATGACATGGTGGACAGGCTCTTACAAACGCAAATATATATTTAGTCTAATCGAAAATCAATGTGTTCTCGAATTGTTTGTAACAGTTGAAACCAGTATGAAATATTCTTTCTTATTCAAACTTATTGCGTCATGCTTCCACAGGGGGCTGCCATTTTAAAATAAAAATATATAAATGGGTTATCTAAATGCAGCATTTTTTAAATTGCAAAATAAGAGATTCATAATTTTAAATTAAAATTAATTGAATGATTTAAAGTTTAATTATTGGATAATTTATAAAGCTTCTAGTAATTTGTCATACTCCAAAATATAATGCCGACAAAAGACTATTTGGACGAAATCCCTGTTGTCCGGACGGGTTGTTCTTTTTAATATATTGATTCGGTCTCACTGAACCAATATGGCGGAATTTGATAGAAAGTCTCTTGAAGAAGAGATAAGAGTTCAGGGTGAAATCGTGAGAAAACTGAAGGCTGACAAAGCTGATAAAGATAAGGTGAGACCACTAACATATTGTTACATTATTACTGTAGCATAATTTATGCTCGTCACTACTTCTGAAGTAAATTTGATAGTTTTTTTTTTAAAGTTGCGACCCACTACCTGATCATTTAGTTTTGTTTAGTATGTTGCTAAAAGTACTGTGACTGTGTACAGTGTAGTCTAGGTTTCTACTTTGGCTTCGTGCCTTATCAGAGTAGTGACATTAAGACTGATTGTTTAAAATATAGTACCCGTGTATGATACTAATACTGTACGTTAATTTTAAAATATATTTCTCTACCAAGTAATGTACTGAGTATCTTGAATGCAAATAATAGAAAAAAACTTAAGTGAAAGTGGCTTGTAAACATTTTTGTTTAGTTTGTTATTTGAGTTTGTGTACCAGTAATCCATAAAATAAATTAGGGGCCAGTGTGGAGTAGGCAACCAATAAAAGTAAAAGATTTCATTTTAAATTGTTTAAATTGCTACAAAATATTTAAAAACTTCTCATGAAACTACTGTTGCTGATGAACATCATTAAAATATTTTTAATTAAAATGGGAATAAAAAAACACGATCCTAGCCCCGGTATTGATCCTCAAATCATATCATCATCTAGCGACCACTCTACCAGTAGACCACACAAGATCTACCAAACTAAATTTTGTTCGGAATAATAAAAACTACTAGCCGTCTGGCGGTCACGTGACATGCCGCCGGACATATATCTTGCGCACTATTTCGTGTAGACACTTCGTTTTGAAAATGGATGAATGTGTACTTACTAGTTTTTTTTTACTTGTTCAGACTCAGTCCATTCACAATCACTGACACTGGCAGTGACTTTAATACTTTAATATATAGTATAGGCCTATATTTTTTTGGCCTACACCTATTTATATTGAGGTCATGCTTTTTATCATTCCTCCTATCATAAAAAAAAGTTTGTGGTAAAAAATTAGACACCCTCAGCCACATCACATTCACACACACTGCGACATATGACATACGTGGCCCGCCACTCATGATGTGTGATATTTATTGATGGCTATCATTAACATTGAGCCTATGTCATTACTGTTGTTCAGACATATATTGATATTAGCTATGAAGATCTTCTATTTCCGATTTTTGATTTAGATCTAAAAGTTATCAATGAAGTATAAGTAAGTAATTTTTTGTAATGTAGGTGGAGGTCCTACATTCACTTAACTTTTTTAAATCACCTGCATAAGCCTTGTCTTGCTCTACCTGCAGTGATTAATTAACTGATTCCACCTTGGGCTTGGCCATTGTCAGCCTTTGGGGATTTACAATAATATCCCAAATTTTCTCAGGTGTGATTTGTGGTATAAAATGGATGTTGATAAAGAGTTTATTTATATTAGGTGTCTACATGTCCAGCGACCGGACAAATAAGTTGTCATTATATTCGTCCATTGACCATATCACATGACCAGTAAAATAGTAGATCAGAAAAATGATGCCAGAGATGCATGTGGGCGACGAGTTTACTTCATTTCAAAAAATAAAAAGGGGTGGGTAAGTGATGCATACTAGAAGGAAGAAATACTGAGAGCGAGAGAAAAAAGAATAAAAATTATTGCGAGAGTGATAAACAATTAAGGCGGGGAGGTTAATAGTTCACAAAGAAATAGACGCTACATCTTAATGTAGGACCAATAAAGTGTGCTGTTGGGGTAGCCTACTTCTCACGTGATATTAATCCATCCATCCCTGTGGCGCTGCACCCCATGTGGGGCTTTGGCCTGCCTCACCACTTCCTTCCACTCAGACCTAACTAATGCCTTTCTTTTCCATGCTTGGACTTTTAACTGCTGTAGATCATTTTTCACATCATCTATCCACCTAAGCCTAGGTCTGCCTTTTAGCCTTTTTCCTCTTGGGTATTGGTGATGCACCCTCTTCGTTCCTCTGTCATTTGGCATTCTCTCTAGGTGTCCTGCCCAGCGTAGCCTGCCTCTTNGGGTTGTGAATGGTTGCTGTGCATAGGTTGTGAATGGTTGCTGTGCATAGGTTGTGAATGGTTGCTGTGCATAAGTTGTGAAGGTTGCTGTGCATAAGTTGTGAATGGTTGCTGTGCATGGGTTGTGAATGGTTGCTGTGCATAGGTTGTGAATGGTTGCTGTGTATAGGTTGTGAATGGCTGCTGTGCATAGGTTGTGAATGGTTGCTGTGCATAGGTTGTGAATTGTTGCTGTGCATGGGTTGTGAATGGTTGCTGTGTATAGGTTGTGAAAGGTTGCTGTTCATGGGTTGTGAATGGTTGCTGTGCATAGGTTGTGAATGGTTGCTGTGCATAGGTTGTGAATGGTTGCTGTGCATAAGTTGTGAACGGTTGCTGTGCATAAGTTGTGAATGGTTGCTGTGCATGGGTTGTGAATGGTTGTTGTGCATAGGTTGTGAGTGGTTGCTGTGCATAGGTTGTGAATGGCTGCTGTGCATAGGTTGTGAATGGTTGCTGTGCATAGGTTGTGAACTTTGCAGTGCATGGGTTGTGAACGGTGGTTGTGCATAAGTTGTGAATGGTTGCTGTACATTTCAGTTGTCAGTGATACGTTCCACTTTAAAATCCATCCCTGTTGCGCTACAGCCCATGTAGGGCTTTGGCCTGCCTCACCACTTCCTTCCACTCAGACCTAACTAATGCCTTTCTTTTCCATGCTTGGACTTTTAACTGCTGTAGATCATTTTTCACATCATCTATCCACCTAAGCCTAGGTCTGCCTTTGAGCCTTTTTTTTGCTCTGGGGCATTGGTGATGCACCCTCTTCGTTCCTCTATCATTTGACATTCTCTCTAGGTTTCCTGCCCAGCGTAGCCTGCCTCTTTTAATTTCTGCTATCATCGTAGGATCCTGATATAGACTTACAATTCCTGATTGGTTCGTATTCTCCATCCGTATTCATCCTTTGGTTGGCCCATATATTTTCCTGAGAACGTTCCTCTCCCATGTGTTTAATAGGTTTTCTGCTGTTTTTGTTAGGGTCCAAGTTTCACTTGCATATTATGTTACAACTGGTCTGATCACAGTTTTATAAATAGTTTTCTTTGTTCCTCTTGGAATGTTTTTACTTTTGAGTATTTTCAGACAACTGAAGTTTGCCATGTTTCCGGCTAATATTCTTTCTTTTATTTATGTTAGTAATTCGTTTCTTTCATTTAACAAGAATCCTAGGTATTTGAATTTATTTACTTTTTAAAAAGTCTGGTTTCTAATTTTATTGCTTCGTCTGTTTCTTCTTCTCTTATCATGGTCATGTATTTTGTTTTTTTGGTTGTTAACTTCCAGCCCTGCTTGTAAAGATGCGTCTTCTAATCCAATAAAGGATTTTGATATGTCTTTCATACTTTTCCCTAGAAGTGCTATGTCATCAGCATATGCAAGATACTGAAGTGGTTGGTTGTAGAGTGTCCCCGTTGGTTATGGGTTTTGAGTTTCCCTCAGAAAGTATCCTGCTATCGTTCCTCGAGTGTTAATGTGTATGTTTCTAATAACTCTCTCTAATGTTAGGTTAAAAAGCATAGAAGTCTCCCTGTCTTTGGCCTCGTCTAATATGAGATTCCCTTGAATATTCTCCTTGAATCTTGATTTTGCTTTTTGAGTTGTTTAGTGTTACATGTATCACTCTTGTAAGTTTGTTGGCCCAAACTCCTGCAGAGTCCACATAGATAGTTTCTTTTGATGCTGTCATAGGCCATTTTATAGTCCACATAGAGTTGATGTACTGGTCTATTATATTCATAGCATTTCTCTAATAGGTTATTGAATTTCTGATGGTGAAAATCTGATCAGTTAGGCCTGAATCCACATTGGTAATCACCTAGTTTTTCTTCAGTGTAAGATTGTAATCTTTTGGCAATAAGCTTCGTCAGTATTTTGTATGTAACATTTAATAGGGAGATTCATCTGTAGTTTGTGCACTGAAGTTTGGAGCCTTTCTTGTGTATTGGGGTTATTAATGCTGTTTCCCATTCCGTCGGGATTTTCTCTTCTTGCCAAATTTTAGTTGTAAGTTTATGTATCTGATTGTGTAGTTCCTCCATATTTAATCAGTTCTCCTGTGATGAGATCTTGTCCGGGGGCTTTATGATTTTTCATATAATTAATTACCTCATTGGTTTCTTATAGGGTTGGGCATTGTATAAAAGGGTCTGGTCCTCTCTGTGGGAGGTGGGGGGGGGGTTGTGGATAATCTTCTTCTTGTCTATTGTCTGCATTCAGTATGTCCTCAAAATATTCAGCCCACCTCTTCAACTTTAAAATAGTTGACTTTATAGTGTAGAAATTTGTTTGAGAATTTATTAATTTTCTTAGATAGATCAGGGGTTCTCAAACTAAGTCCCCTGGCCAGATCCGGACCACATGCCCACCGTAAGGGTACCTGGTTAGCAGCCAAAAATATGAATCTGGACATTGATCATCTGATAAGCCATACTTCCCTTTAAATACTATTAAGTTTTTCTATTTTTCTATATTTTAAGTATATCATTGTTTTTTGAAGTTTAAAAAAAATACTTTTTTCTTTACTACAAATATGCTATCTATGTGCAGTGTTCATAGAGCATGCTGTTTTTAAACTGAAGTTCGACTACGGCATTGTCTGAAGAACACTCTTCTGGCACCCAGATAATTTCTGAAATCTCCGATCCGGCCTATTAGGGACCTCTCCCACAGATAGTCACCGCTAACCAGTATTGTATAACACATGGGGTCTCTCAACGGTTAAATTTAACAATAGAATATGGTGTTGCATGCTTGAATGGTGTGGATCTAACAGACACTATCATGTGGTGGGGGTTAACACCATGTCATGTAGTATGAGCGGTTTGTCACACTCTAGTAGGACATTTCAACGGTTGGGGATGACACACAGTCAGGATTTACTATTTCCTCCATAAACATTTCAATGGCATGGTTAAATGCCGTATTTTTTTTTTAAAGAAGATACAATACATTAAAACCTGATTCAATTATTTGCGTTTATAATTAATTAAACAAGCCCTTAAAGCAAAGTTGCTCGTACAAATGGTTTAAATGCATGTTTGTTTGCCTTTATGTAATTGTGCGTGATTTATTATTTATGTCATTGTAGCAACCGATTTTTTTTTTTTATGTATACTAATGGTTTTTATTATTAGTGCATGTCAAACCTAATAGACTAAAGATATATTTAAGCCCAAAATATGTCACAAAATCAAAGCACATAGCAACGGCTACACCATTAATCTCCACACCACAACACGCATCCATATGACAAATAATTTACATACCTCCCCTTGAAAAACAAGAAACTGATTTTTGGGGGGATGGGCTGAAATTTTTTGAAAATGTGTTGTCATTGGCATTGAGTCTATGTGCCAAGTTTTAGCTCAAAAGGATAATGGGAAGTGGGTCAATTAGCCTTCCGAAGATATTTCCGGCACACAAGAACGAAAAAAAAAAACCCACGAGCAAAAGCGAAGTTAATATACAGGATTGAAAGATGGATTTCTAAATGATGCTTAGCAATAGCACGTAGAAAGTAGCAACATGTGCCTCCCATTATAAACTTGGTAACACCGGGAAAAATACCCTAGTATACATTAAAATAACCCAATGTCAACATATCACGCTGATTTCAGTAGCATACACTATAAAAATCAGAGGGAGATCGATATACGAATGGATGGTTGTATGAGTACAGTCTTTAAGATATTGATTCTTTTTTTTCTTACACGTTTAAAACTAAATCAATGGTGTAAACACGATTTCAAAGGTGTGATTTATTTGTGTGTATTTTTTTACAAATAACGGATTATTCCTAGTTCCTTCAAAACACAAGTATACCAAAACATAATATCTGAGTTTATGTATACCATGACACAGGTATACCTTACCTTTTTTGTCCAGAGTAACCTAATTTATACTATAATATGTTTAAATGTATAACAGGGCCAAAATGTATACCAAAACAATTTAGTGCCTACCATGGCAAGTGTATACGATACCATTTTTTAGTGCCAACCATGACACATGTATTTCATATTATTTCAGTGGCTACCATGACACATGTATTTCATATTATTTTAGTGGCTACCATGACACATGTATTTCATATTATTTCAGTGGCTACCATGACACATGTATATCATATTATTTCAGTGGCTACCATGACACATGAATTTCATATTATTTCAATGCCTACCATGATACATATATATCGTTACTATTTCAATGCCTACCATGATACATATGTACCATACTATTTCAGTGCCTACCATGATACATGTATATCATATTATTTCAGTGCCTACCATCATACATGTATAATATATTATTTCAGTGCCTACCATGATACATGTATAATATATTATTTTAATGCCAACCATGATACATATGTATCATACTATTTCAGTGTCTACCATGATACATGTATATCATACTATTTCATTGCCTACCTTGACACATGTATATCGTACTATTTTAGTGCTTACCATGACACATGTATATCATACTATTTCAGTGCCTACCATGACACATGTATACCGAAATCCCTTGTGCCACCACCGGAGCCATCCCAAATCAAAGGAGTCAAAGATGACCTCGGCAAACGGGACGCAATCTTGCAGTCTGTCATCTGGAAGGAGAATGTTCATGCCGAGCAAAGATGTTTGAAAAATTGGTGGGTAGCATTGAGCAGATGTATCAATTTAACGGATCAAATTGAATTACTGCTCTCATTCTATTGACTAAGCACTTGATAAAGGCTCTTTTTTGTGTTACATTTTAAATTTTATCCTATAATGAATGAAAGATATATTGGTCTTAGATTATATATATATATATATATATATTATATAGGTGGTTCTTACACATGCAATGTTACAGAAACATCAATGTTTGACAGATGTTATGAAACCTTTGAATACTTCTATGATACTTTTTATTGGTTGAGAGGTGGTTTTCAGGCCAGGTCTGATGTGTTTTAATTGATTGATTTTTTTTCTTCTGTTTTTTACAGGGAGACAAATTGGGGTTTCCTAACAGAGTTTGATTCAAAGGTGAGCCTGAATAGGTGGAAAAAAAATCACTTTGTTTAGACAATCTTTGGAATTTGGTGATTTTATTCACATTAACCTCAGAATTTGCATGCAGCTTTCATCCATCAAAACGTTGTTTTCTTCTCCTCAAATAAACAACTCCTTATTCATTCTTTAATTTTAGGACAACTTAACAAAATTTTTGTTTTGTAAGGTCAACAATCTGTTTATTAATTTATTTTTTTTTCGGATAAATTTTTGAAATGGTATCTTTGCATATCCTGTTACCGCTTCTCGACCCTTTGGTTTGGCAGTGGCGGACATCGGTCAAATAAAATGAGACCACGAACTGGACAAGGACCTGTAAGGTTCAAGAGGCCCCCAATATTGCAGTACAACTGCATGGGGGAGAGGGGGGCGGAGAAGAAAGCAAAAATTAATCATCCTGTGTTACCCCTACACATACATTTTATTGTGAAATTTGGTAAAAATAACAAGTAATAAATCAAATATAAATAACAAAAAGTTCAAAGATATGTTTTCATTAAGAGCCTTAACATTTGAGGTTGCGAACAAACTCCATAGCTATGAAATTTCTTTACAGGGAAACGCTAAAGTCAAAGAAGTGTTGCCAGAAAAGTCCAACATGTTCAGCACTGTCGTCCCGAACACAAACTCGGGTAACTATGGCAACAGACTCAGCACTGAAACGGGGCAGACAATGCAGTCGCTAGAGAACAAATTTTTCAGCGAAAGCAGGCGCAGGAAACTACCGGAGGAAATGATATGCTACTGAAATTACTTAATGTTTATTTAACTTGATCTTACTGAAAGATTTTACTGAAATTACTTATTACTTATTAACTTCTTCCTATTGAAATGATGTTACTGAAATTACTTAACTTAAGTTATTCAATCGGTTCTAACTAAATTCATGTAAACCTAAACCTGTATTTTTAACATGTATGTAGATATTTATAAGATGTTATTTCTTTCAAATTTATTTTATAGATTGATTGAGTTCTAAAACTATTATTTTTTTTTTACAAAAATTTCCATATAATTCATTTAGGCTATTGCTAAATATTTATTCAATTCTATATTAATATTTGTCCCCGACTTGCTAAGACTTACTTATAATATATTTTTTGAGATTTGTTACGGATGTAAGTTCAAGGAACACTAATGATCCTAACAGCCCCTCACACTGTTTAATATTAGTAAGATGTGAATAAAATCTATCAATCTATTTATGATATTTACTATTATGTCACTGTCTCATTATAATAGTTTTTATTTATACTTAAAAATCTCTACTTATTGGAGGACCATGTTCTCATTTGCATATATTCTTATATCCCATGTCTTCAATGTCTGGGGTTTTAAGAAAATTGTTAATAATATTTTTTTTGTATATAATTTAAATGATACATGCTTGAATGGTTGTAAGGTACTTATCAAAATTTTTATTTTAAAAAAAAAAGGGGAAACAAATTTATTTTGTGAACTTCTTATTAAATTGGGCATTGCCTTTAAGAAAAACACTGATTATATCGTTCTTAGCTTTTCAGTTTAATCATGGAAGTTTTTTAGTGTACCAATCGATAGATTTTTTTTTTAGTAATGAAACATGTAGCCACAATGAGGTTAAAAAAATAATGAAGCATCAGAAGATGATTAAAAAATAAAACTTAATATCACTGTGTCCCAAGGACTTGAAATACAAATTTATATCACTGTGTCCCAGCTCTTTAAATAAAAGGCTATATCACTTATTGTTCCTAGTTCTTGCAATAAAAACTTACATCACTATGTGTCTCTAGCTCTTTAAAAATATTTTCACTTTCACTATAACTTATTATCGTTGATGGAACATTTTTTTGTCAATCATTTAATTTAATGGAATAAATGAAACATCTCAAGGCACCAGTTTGAAATCCTGTGGTGGAAACAATAGCTAAATCCACATGACTTGAGAAACTGTGGTGGAAAAAAGCAAAATGGGAAATCTGTAAATTATTCTTATACTAACATTAAAAAAAAAAAATCTTCAACCTAAATTTCTAATCAAAGGAACGTGGAGCTTCATTCTTATATTTCAAAAAAAGTTTTTGTTTTCTCTGATAAACGTGATGTCTATTTCTTGCGCAAAAAAACATTGACTTATTTTTTAAAATTTCTTGATTGTGTGGATAAACAGAGTAAAAAGATATACACATTTGTTAAAATTACAACAAGTTGTTAGAAAGAAAAAATTAATCTATGTTATATTAAAAAATTAAAATCCACTGTTTGAAATATTGCTAATTTCTTGTGATTGAGTTGTGTTTAAGCGTCTTGTTAGCTGTGTTTAATTACTTTAATTTTGTGAAGATAAATATAAAAAAAAAAACGCTATTGCCATAGAATAGTTTATAGTAAAAAAAGATCTTTTATTGCATCTGATTTCATCATGAGCAGTTCAAGCATTTACAAAACATGGGAATATTAAAATAATCAGTTTGTTAATTACATTTCAAATGAAGTTATAGTGCACTCAAACTTCACTATAGGGCTGTTATTCACAACAATCATCACAGACTACATTAAATAGACAAGATTTAAAGCTATTACATTCAATTCACTTTGTTTTAGATCAGGAATCATCACTAAATTATGCAGACGGGAAATGTTAGCAAGGCATCTAACGTAATCATCACAGCAGAGTTTCATAAATTGAAAGGCTTTTCACAAGAATTCCCTCCTCATGTCCCTGACACCAAAACCATTATATGATACAAGCCCTTGATCCCTTAACCCTTACCTCAATTTTATCTTATCGATAAAAACTTGAAAGTGGCTACACGAATAGGTAAAATTAAGTAGACATTGCCGTTAAAGCTGCCACTTGCAAAGAGACAGCAATTTCATCAAATAACATAAAATGAAATGTTTATAAAAACAACAATATAAAAAAAATGTGACAGATACAAATTATGTAACAGTGAATTACCTTGATATAAAGAAACTGATTTACATTATAAATACCAACAAGTGTAACCACAAAGCTTCTTCTGACTAAATTCTAAATTTACCAATTACTTTACTTAAGACTGTAAAACAAGGGCGAGTAAAGAAAGATCATATTTTCATCCTAACCATGGTGAGTGTGGACACAGCCTTTGTGGGAAATAACTTAAGTTGGTAGAAAAAGCTTGACTAATGAACCAACTGTCGTAAGATTTCGCTCTGACCATGGTCAATGCATTAAAGTGTCGCAACCAGATTAAACACGAGGATTCAGTTTAAAAACCTTTGGAAAAGAAAACGTTCCATACATACTATATTTATAAGCAAATCTTCCCCATACTGTTCTCCTGATTAAAAGCTTCACACTTAAAGTTTGTTCTTCACATATTTATGTATTCTTTTTTTTTGCAACATCTTGATTGTAGGCTGAATCACTAGTTCAAAGACTGACATTTGGGAGAAAAAATTTAGCACATGCTCGGAACAATATGGCCTTTCCATTTATAAAATGAATTTCCCATTTTTTAAGAAAAATGTAAAATGATTCTGAAATGACCAACAACAACGCCATCACAAGAAGGCTCCAGGAACCAAGGTAGGTGAGAAGGAGTTCATTGATTAACTTGAGTATCCAGCCATGGAATCAAATGATTTTTCTGCTCAAGAAAAAGATCTGAATATCCCCAAAAAAGATAATGTAACATGGTGCAGCTGCATTGACAAAATAAATCTCAAACCATTGATTCAATCCACTTACTAGAAGCTCTTTCTGCTCAAACTCATGAATCAGTAAACACTATTTGAATGTAAGTCAATGGAGATTATAAACTTGTAAGAAAATATTCTCTTCTAAATCCAGTAAAAACACAAGTATCAAGGATCATTATGATTAGCTGTTTCCAATAGAATAATATTTCTTGTATGTATGATATACTTCATAATAGTACTTAAAAGTTATCATATTAACAACAACATTAGTTTTGTTTTAAAAGGTTCAAACGTGATGATGGGAGCTTTCCTTTTGCTTGCAAATTTGAACAGTAACATAGTTCAATCAAACAAATTAAAAAATTGCAGGGTTTTTTTTTTTCCACAGCAAAACCCAGAACAACAAAAGAGTTTTGAAATCAAAGAGAAACAACTCTACATAAGAAACAAGTTGCATGGTAACTATACACATTAGACTAGCACCAATTCAAGTTTTAAAAAAATGTTTTTAAAATACTGAGTTATAAATATAGTATATACACCATATATTAAAAAAAAACAGGATGTATTTGGTAAAGAACTAACAAGATAATAAATTTAGACAAAAGAATTACAATAACTAACATTTTCACTGGCAACACATGTCTCTGTGTTTAAATTAATGACAAGATGATATAATACTGTTTATTCAAGCACTGATTAAAAAAAAATATGTATGTCTTATCAAGCTCATGAATAGGCTTCTGTGAGTTCCAATCATTGTGATAACAAATGTCCATCAAAACTGCTTTTCCTGCTTATGTTTATCTCATCTATGAACATTTATGTAATATAAATACTATGATTTTCCTGCTTATGTTATCTAAACTATGAACACCTTTCTGATATAGTATTATAAGGGACTTTACATTTATGACACATTTGCAATGCAATGATTTATAAACAATTGGCAAAAAATAAAAATAATTTTTACACTGGAAATTTTTTATTATGCTAAAAAAGAATGAACATAAATAATTTTATGACTAGAGGCATGGAACAAAAGTTCATGTCACTCGTCTCAAAAGTCTTTTCTCCAAAAATAAGGTGATGATGGCTTATTATAATTTCTGGTTATAGTGAATTATAGTCATACTTCTTAAAAAAAAAATTTAAGTTATTATTTTGTTGACTTATTTTCATGATTACCCATTCAATATTTTAATATCTTAAATATCAGAAATATCTTAGCCTAGCATATAATTCTTTGTTTCAAAGTTCATTAAAATAATTTGGCAAAGCCTCAAATTTTGCAAACAGCTGTCAAATTGGAAACAAACAACCTCTGAAAAAAAAATTCTTTTCTTTAAATTTGTTTTTGTTAAATTTTAAAGCAACAGAAATAATTCAAACGTAAACAAAAAATATTTCGCATCGTAGGCTGTCAAGAATTAAGAGAATGTTCGACACAAAAATATTTGACCAAAAACAATCAGACCCAATTATTCAGCTCAGTGATGTTATTTCATGGTTTAAGTCTTGGTAGGATTCGCGCCAGCTCTGTGCTGGGCCAGGTTCTTTTTTGCTGAGTAGTGTTGTGTTTTGTGACGTCGAACAAGATTAGAGTAAAAACTTTAAGCAAAACAAAGTGGGGTAAATTTTAATAAGTGATGTTACAATGAATAATATAGTATCAGTTCACAACTTTAAAAGTTAATTGTCTCAAAATTTTCGGCGATATTAAAGTAATAAAACATCTGAAATATCTCATTAAAAAAGGAAGATACAACATAGCTGCCATTTACCAGATTGAAATATAGGCAAGAAGTGAGACAAGCTGAAGACAATGATCAAAAAAAAAAAAAAAAAATTGAAAACAAGGAAAGAAAGCAACAAGACCAAAATAGCAGCCATTTTGAAATTAACAGGAAATAAACATTTTTAAGAAATTTTCTTTGGTATTGTAGAGTCCAGCAGAAATGCAGATGCTTCACTCGGTGACTTGAAACAAATATTTACAAACTCTAAAAGAAATCACATGTTAAAAGCTGAAATAACAGGAAACTTTGTTAAGTAATGATACAAAATTCAAATACTATTGGACAGCTTTTTTTTTTTGCTTCTGTGTAATTGGAGATGCTTAGGAGAAAATGGTGGGATAAGCAAGTTCCAGAATACAGGCCATTAGCACATGTGTCACAAAGTGACAAGAAATTGTATAATTAAAAAAAAAGGTTAGGGAACCCCCTAATGCATTTAAAAACAAATGCAATCCCATCAGTTTGTAATAAGAAATTATCCACTAGTAAGTTGTAAAGCCAACGGACAGACAAGTTTATTTCACCAAATAAGAGATCAGTCTAATCAGGTGGGTTTTCACATTGATCAATCAAACATTCTCATGTTTTAAAATCATACACCCTCAATAGTCATGTGTGACTGGTTTGTAAGAAATCTGATGCGGACACAAAGTGACAGTTCCTTTGGTCATAAAAATATATAGAAATTGGTGAATAGTGAGAATCAGTGTCCTACGCTACTTGTTTCAAAACAATTGTCTAGTACTTGCACATAATATAGTCATCTAAAAATATTCAAGTACATTCATCAAATAGAAATACCCATCTATAGTAACTATGTTAGAAATAAAATATACCCTAAGATCACAAAGTACACTGTAAAATTTAAAAAAATATTGCATGAAATAACGAAATTTCCCTTGAAATAATAAAATATACCATGAAATCACAAAGTATACCCTTACATAAAATAATAAACTCTGAAACTAAAAAAAATATGCTGTGAAATAATGAAGTATACCCTGAAGAAATAAAATATACCGTTGAAATAACTAAATATACCAGAAATCATTAGGTATACCCTGAAATATTCTATAAGCTTCCTTTTTGCTGTTGCTATGGATATGTCTTATTAGAAGTTTTAAGCTTCAACAAAAAATAACAATTCTTATAAAAAGTTACATATATTTCTGACTTTGATAAATGTATATTTAACACTGTACTGGGTCAGCATCTCGGCCAGTTTCTATAAATAGACAACAGAATGTTTAAATTACTGAAAGCCATTAGTCTATTTACATCTTAGAAAGCTTGACTTAGATTTAAAGTACATGAAAGAAAAACTGCACATTTGTATATCTGTTTCATGTGAAGGCTTTCTTTGAGTAATGGTTGTATTTTAAACATTTTTATTCTAAAATCACTGCCTTGTTTGCCTTTAATAAATTTTAAAAATCCCATTTTTAGGATTATTTCCTCAATTTTAAGGCAACTCTTCAAAGCTGGATTTTGTTGATTGCTGAAATTTTTGAATACCCGGTATCACAAAATAAAAATAATGCTCAGCTTGTAGGAACCAATATCACAAATTACATCTGAATGCAAATTTATAAAACATTACCTCCCTATAAATTATAAGAAAAAAAAAATTAACGCTGGCAACTAAAACATCATTAATTAAGTGCTCTGGCTGAAGCTATTATTATTCATTAAAATTATATCATGACATTTTCTCTTTATAAAATTTCTGTAACAACCATGGGGGGATTTCTTTAATAATTAAACAAAAAAAACATGTCAAAAAGCT